ACTATAACTATTAATTATTATTATTAAAACTAAATAATAAACTAGTTAGAATCAATTATTATAATAAAAGTTTCAGCCACTTCTTTTATATAAATATTATTAAAAATATTAATATAAACTAAATTCTTTATTAATATTATTATCTAATATTAAATGGCAAACTAGTTGGTAACAATTATATTAATAATAAAAGATTCAAATTAGATATTATTATATGTATGAATTATTATAAATATAGTAAAAATATTAATATAAACTAAATTCATTAGTAAAATACAAATAAGTTATGAAAATAAGTTCGCTTACTTTCTATTTTTTATAATAAAAATATTATTTCAAATAAATATTGTGAACAGTTTTCACCAGTTTTTTCTTATTTTGTATGTAATTTCTACTCATAAATAATGAAACTTTTAATAAATATAATAAACAGTTTTTATTTTTATTACTATTATTATATACAACAATAAATCCACATAAAATCTTGTATATTTTCTTAGTATTAACTAATTATTACTTTACAACACTGAATTGCTATTAATATCAAAGTAATGGATATATACAAAAATTCTTTAGTTTTCTTATATTTGCTTGTTTATATTATTATACTTCTTTAAAACGAGTATTAAATACCTAATAAGAGTAATTAAGGCAATAGATATATATAATTAAGTAAGTACAAATGACTTTCACTTAAACTATTCTAGTATGTTTCAATATTACTATATTTTTTTAATAGTTATTACTATTAAAAAAATAAATATTTCTTTTCTGCTATCACGCATTGTTATAAGTCTTGAACTGAAATATTATAATATTTTTTCCTTTACTTATTATTTATATATTTTACTTTCATAATATTTTTGTTCGTCATGCTTACGTTATTTTATATATATATATATTTATTTTTAAAGTATATTTATAGCTTACCTTCCTCTCCCATATGAAAGTTGATAATCTTTTCTCTAAACGAAGCGGCAGTGATGATCGTGCCGTTGTTCGTCCCAAAAAGCTGAAAGCAAATGGCCGCTTCGATTGGCGAAAAAGTGGTTACCGCGTTGCTGCGCATCTATAGAAAAATAATGCACGTGGTTTTTTAGATATATATTAATATTAATAAGTAATAATACAATTAATAATTGATAATACATAAGTAATTATATAATAAATAACCACAAATAATAGTGATAATAAAATTTGGGGCACCGCATGGCCGCTCACGCGGTATATATTTAATATTCATATAATATACAATAAAAGTCGCTTTGCACAAGAAAAAAAAAATAGTTTAAATTAATAGTGAAAGTGATTATTATGTTTCCTTTATAATAGTAATAGTTAAAAAGTAGAAGTGAAATATATAATAATTATTATAAATAAATATATTAAAATAATATAGAAATAAGGGAAAAATAAAATATAGTTGATATGAGTAATAAAAAATAAAAGGTTTAAACAATATTATAATACTATATAAAAAACACAGTTGCTCATAATAAAAGTAGTTTAACAATAAGAGAACATTTACAAATATACAAAAAACTATTATTATATAAAAACTATAATAAAAAACTTGCAAAAATATATATTTATATATGTACTAAATGTTTATTAAAAATATATATTTTTTTATTTTCATTCGTGGTACATAATGACTTGATGATAATAATAATTTAAATAATTGCATTTGAAAATAAGAATTAATTCTTATAAGTAAGAAAACATACAAAACTTTATAAGTGATAATAGTGTAATTTATATTTACATATAATAAAATAAATAATAAAAGTTAAAATCTTAATTATAAAAAAGGTAATAGAAAGAATTAATAAAATAAAGGAAAATTAAAAATTAAAATTATATTTTACAAAATAATAAAAAGTAAAAGGAAAAATAAAATTAAATGAGGCAAATTAATGTTAAATGGCAATTATAGAGCTAATTTGCACAAGATAAACTTCAAAAAGTTATTATATAAAAAATTTCAAGTGACACAAATAAGTTTAAAAAGGTAGCTTTTAAGTTACTTTTTGCAGGTAAAACTGAAATGATCGAAAATTATTAAAATCAGCCAATTAATTTTATTTGCACGAAAAAACCTTAAAGGGGGCAAATTTAAAATTTTAGGCGGCTATTGATTAAATGATACATTTCTAAAGTTATACGGCGCTAACTAAAAGCAAAAGGCTGCTATTAACTTTTTCTGCAACAAATGCAAACTCAATAACGCAAATAAAAATTAATTTGTACAAAGATAAAATTATAAATTATACGTATAAAATACTTTTTGATACTCTAATTACACAAACTTTAATGATAACACTTTAAGTAAAAGGCAGAAATTCTAGTAATTGCAAGCTTTATAAAGTATTCTCACCAATGCGCGAAAGTTATTCATGTCGATATTAGAATTGGGAAATTTTTTAAAAGTGGACCAAAGCATGTGTTTGATGGCAGGAAGATGCTGCAGAAACTTTTGAAATCCAACAAATTCAGCAAAAGTGACTTTCCTTAATCATAAGTTCAAGTAAATTCCACAGAAAGTAATTAAAAATAAAAATTTGGATTATAAATGCTCTAAAATATATAATTTGGAATACAAGTTTTCAAAATATTAATATTTACGTATTATACAAAAGTAAGAAAAGAAAAAATGATAAAAATATATACATATATATACATCTATTAAAGAATATTCTTAACAGCATAGAATAATATATATATAAACTAAAGGTGAAGTAAGGAGTCCTGTATTATTATAAAAATTTAAACTATTTCATAAATACTATAACAAAAAAACCATATAAAAGTTTGCACAAAAAAATAACATAATTAGAATTAAAATTTTTAACGTAGAAGTGTCTTAAAGAAAACTTTGTTACAACAGTAAAGTTAGTTCATTAATATACTTTTAATACATAATGGAAAGGGAACAAAAAGTGTATCAGTTATATAAATATGTAACGAAATACAATAAAGTACAAAACTTTATAGTATTAAGCTATACAAAAATATATGTAAGAGTTTCTCATAATTCAGATATATAATTAAGTATAAGTTAATCCATTTTTAAATTTTGTGGTAAAGTTTTATAAAAACTGGAATCGTTAACCATCAATAATAATTATATAAAAACTCCAACTTTACTTTAACTTTTCGTATAAAAGTAAAGCCTTTTTTCATTAATGATAACTATAATTTTTTTTTCACATTATTATAATAAATATAAGGGAAAAAAATGGTAAACAATAAAATAATAAACAGTGCTTTGTATAATTTTTAAAAGAATATTACTAAAAAATATTATAAAATATAAAATAGTATAAAAATATTTAGCAAAAATTTTATATAAATATAGTAAAACATTAAAATAAAGAAAAAAAAAGCAAAAACTTCAAAAAAATATGTAAGGGACAAATAATAGCTTGGTGCAACATAATAGTCTAAAATTATAATCTGGGTAAAGTAAAGAATAAAGGCAACCAAGTTATGCAACAAACAAAAGGTAGAATGCAAGCAATTACCTCGTGTCTATAAATCATGAATAAGAAAGAAAACCATCCGAATAAATAAAATGCTACAATTTAAGTTGATAAAAATGAACCTGGTAGTATACGATTGGTTTCCAGTAAATAAAAAATTTTATTACCCTTCGATATGCTAATTATATTATTATTATTATTGTATAGGTATCCGGATGAAATATATCACAAAAAACTGCTGCTTGTTATTTATTTATTAGTAACTAATAGAGAATGGCCAGAAGTTACATGTTGAGAGCACATCTATATATTACATTATTATTTACATAAAAATTATATTTCAGCATCCACGATGTGATCAAAGTTATAAATCTGCTTACGTCTATATAAAATTGGTACTCCATAATGAGTTAAAAACATAAAAAAATTATGGCAATAGTTTTATAATTTTATTAAATTCTAAATAAAATAAATAATCTACATAAAACATAACAGAATCAATAATGAAATACCATTAATATAACTTTACAAATATTATAAATAAAAAATTAACCAAAAAAATTGAATATTTTTATTAAAATAAATAATATAAAACAATTGTATAAAGTTTTCATAATGAAACATTTATTACACATTAATAAATAATATTAGTTTTGTATAAGTACTTATATTTCTTCACAACGGAAAACTTTTTCTTATAATTAAAACTTACAAGCGAAACACAAGCCCAACGTTACTGTAGATGGGCACACTAATATTATGTTTATAATGTAAAGTTTAAGTTTTTTTTATTCTAAGTCAATAAAGGCTCCCTTTAAGTGTAGAATACTAATAAAAATATATTATAATAATATAATAATAATAAAGTAAGAAATTCTTTATACAAAAATACTTTTTGTAATATAAAATAAAAAATCTCTTGATATGAAATATAAAAATAGTAATAAAAATAGTTTTTATAATAAATTATTATAATAATATTGAAGCAAATATAACAATGAGACTTCTTCGAACTAACAGAACTCAACAAATAGTCAGAGTATGCAAAAGCACGTGGATCACCTGTAAGTAATTTTAGTGATTTATTATTATTCATAAAAATAATGAAGCAAGCAAGTAACATAAAAACCCAAAAGTTTTGTTATATTAACAAAAGAGTCAGCAGAAATATATCCTTTTCCCTCCTCGTCTTGCGAAAGAAACAACTGGCGTGCATATTCGATCTTATCAATAAAAACCGTTACAAGTAAATAAATAATAAAGTTTAATGAAAAACTAATTATATATACATAATATAAAAAGTAATAGAAATAATTGAACACAAAGCTTATAATAATAAATGTTGGAAGTTCCAAAATAATATATTGAGGATAAATTATAAATAAAAAAGGATAAATGTTAACAACATTTTAAATATATAATAAAAGTATTACAACGCAGAAAAATATAAATAAGAAATTGGTAATGAATAGTAAACAATAATAACCAAAAGTTAAAGTAATCATAATAAAAGTAAACTTATAAACAATATTTAGTTGGCATATAATGTTACCTAGAATAAGAAAAAAATTCATAAATACTAGGAAAGTAACAGATTTGATAATAATAACAATAATAGCTTACTTGAAACTGTATAAAAAATTCCGTGAATTCATAAAAGTTAAGGGAACGCTCGTTACCTTCCGAGCCAAAGAAACGCTTCATGGTTTCGCCTATACATGGTAAGCAGCTCTTTAAAAACAAGTTTCTATTGGTGCTTACAATCAAGATTCAAAAAAGCGTTTTCAGCTTCTTCGGAAATATTTGACTTGAGAATATCAATAAACTCACTTTTTGTGATGGCGCTAAAAACAAATCGATTTTTATTTTAATAAAATAAGTATTGGTGTTGGCTAGTAAAAATAGTTTATAAAAATAATGAAAGTGAAGCATAAATAAACAAGTAAAAAACACAAGCGAATAATATAAAAGTAAAAAAGAAATAGAACTAAAATACTTATTACTAGTAGCCATAAAACAAGTTGAGAGCTCAGAGAATATAAAAAATATTTAGTGACGAAGCAAAAAAAAAAATTAAAGTTCAAGGCAGTATTAGTCAATGAAGAGATATAAAAAATACTACGATGAGATTTAAATAATTATATACTATAATTCATTGGCACGCTTAATATATTAAAATAATAAGCCAATAGTAACGTTTGTTTGATTAATACTCACAATACCGCTTAAAAATATAGTTCAAATAAATAATTTTAAAAACTAATGTCGTCCAAAAAATATAAAAATTATGGGGAAAATTGGTCAATAAAAATGGGGATATAGTTGACTGAACAGTCACAGATCAGCAAAAAAATCTTATTGGCGTGTTAATAAAGTTAGAAAAAATATAATAATTAAAATAATGGCCAATAAAAAACAATTAACAAAGTATCGAAAGTAAAAAAATTTTCAATTACATATAAGTATAGAACTTCATAAATGTTTATAAATAAACCCAAAAATAATAAATTTTATATATTGGCGCAATGAAAAATAATTAAAAGGGTAATGATTTAGCCAATAATAAAAAGATAAAAATTTATCCTAAAAATTATGAAAAAGTCAGTAAAATTATTATAAGTAAATATTATAAGAAAAATATATAATATTTTTATAAAATGTAAATAAATTTTTAAAAAAGCATAAAATAATCTATAGAGTTTCAGTTTAATTAATATCATTTAATCTTCATAAAAATTAAAATGTAATAAATAAATGAAACCCAAAAAAATAAAAAATATAAAAAATAAATTGAAATTTAGTAAAAACTTTTGAAGTATTAAATTTAAAATAATATATATAAACTATAATAAAAAATTCCATAAAGTTAAATTTATAACGAAAAAAGAAGAAATACATAATTCTCTATTAAAAAAAAATAATAATATTAACCAATAATACAATGTACAGGTCACCACCATAATAAAACTTAACCAATTAAAATAATTTCGAAAATAGCATTAAAAAAATTGAAGAAAACTAACTCGTCAGAATCTTTATCAAAGTAATAAAATGCCAAATCAAAGTCCGGATCAGGCGAGGAAAGAATTCGTAAAAAAAGTGCAAATTCTGAAAAGTCGATCATTCCGCTTCCATGCCGGTCAATCAGTCTAAACTGAGGCGCAATTTTTTTTAAGACATGAAATTTAGTATAAAATTCACAAAGCTTTATTATGAAAAGTTCAAAATAATAATTGAAAGTAGTACTTATTAAATTTAAACAAATATAAAATTCGGAGTATTTAAATGAAATTACTAACAAAGTACATAATAACAGTGGAAATACTGTCTTTTTCTGATCATTTATTTATTATTTTTTTAATATTATGCAAAATCCCAATAATTTAGAGAAAAACCAATCAAGAAAGTTTATATAAAATGGATTTCTAGTTGGTAGGTATTATTAACCATAAACCAAATTTACATTAAAAAATATTACAACGAGAAAACCAACAAAAAATTTATCATAGAAAAGATCATAAAATTAAAAATAGAATTTTCTCTGATTGGTTACTATGCTTATAAAATTTAATATATTTTAATGAAAAACCCACTATGAAAATAATAAATTGTATTTCTCTGGTTGGTTACTATCTTTTATTTTAACAATATAAACAAAATTCCACTCAATTTTTACTTCGGAAAAGTTCACTAAAACAACTGCAAGAAAAATATGACGGAATGAAAACTATCATAAATATTTCTCTCATTAACTAATAAAAGAATTTATAGAATTAGTTAAATTTCGTAATAATAATTACTAGATTTGTCTTCTCGCCAATAGATACTAATTTATTTATTTTTTAATGAATTACTGGAAAACTAATAGAAAATGTTATAATTTTAAAGTACAATAGACTTTCATAATATTATTAATAAGCAAAATATATAGTATAACGGAAATAAAGAAAAAATATATTTAATAAAAAGTAATGCTTCTGAATAAATATGAATAGTTTTTCTGGTAAATAAATAAAAAATATACAGATAAAAAAGTAATAAATATATAAAATTTTTGTTTCTTAATAATAATAATATTCAAATATTCATAAATACAAATAAAACAGGAATAATAATTTTATTTTAAAACTTTTTAGTAAAAAAAACTTTTATGTAAAGAGTTCATTAACGTTAACCCGAAATAATTATTGTTAAAAAAGTGTTATAATAAAATAAATATAACAAGATTACAAAAAAAGCAAAAAGAGTAACAAAAACTTAAGTAAAATTTTTAAGATTCATATATAAAATAGTTTATATACAATTATAATAACAAGAAGATGTGAAAAACAAAAAACAAAAAAAGTCTTATTTTTTATTAAATATAAGAAAAGTAGCATCATATTTTCATAGCTAAAAAAGTTTTACATATATATATATTATAGGAAATGTAACAAATATACATAAAAATATTAAAAAATTTAATATTATGTAAAGTTTATGCAAACAAGTATAAACCAAGAAATAGGTTAACAAAAGTATGGATAAAAAAGGTTAAATAATAAAAAGCTGAACAACGCCAGCAGATATAAAAGTATATAAAAAGGTAAAAAGATAAGAATAAAAATTTTTCTATAGTAAATAATGTTTTACTTTTAAAATTAACTTTGTTAATATTTCATATATACTTATAAGTTTTCCAAGATATCTAAGCGGAAAAATTAAAATTTTATATTAACTTTTATACATAAAATACTTAGCTAAAAAAAATTGAACAAAAAAATAATAACAGTAAACTTTAATTATAATTAATAAATATACACACTATTTTATTATTATTAAAAAGTATTCCTAAAAGTGAATACTTTATAAAAATAACATGATAATAATAAATATTATTTATATAGACAATATAGCTTTAACTTTTCGGAAAAATCCATATTAATCAGTATAAATAAGTATTCTTAGAAAGTGTGTAACATGTTAATAATTATAATTATATAATATAAATAACAATACGCTATTATTTAGGGTTAGATTAATAAATATGTATAGTTATTATTATTATTACTAAAGAACGAAGGCGCTGGTCTTCCGCATCATAATCAATTTCCGGAAGATTTTCTCGATTTTGCGTCATCGCCTTAATAAAGCCGTTAACATCCATATAACGTTGTGTTTCTAGTGGTTCTAAAATATAATAATAATAATAATAATAATAATAATAATAATAATAATAATAATAATAATAATAAGAAACGAATAATTAATCTCTAAAATAATAAATATACATTAAGAATAAAACAATACTATAAACACCCAAAAGTTGTTAATAAGTAATATTTTTAATTTATTTAAAGCGTAAAGTTTTATATTCTAAAATGATTTTTGTGTAATTCCCTTCAAAACAGATAGATAATATCAACCAATAAATGGCAATTTTCTATTTAAAATATTCACAAAAAACAGTGAAAACTTTATAAATTATATTATTATTATAATTAATATTTAAACAAAACAATTAAAAAGCATAACAACAATAGTAATACAATAGTAGTAGTAATGACCTTTTGAGTTTTCCACTTCGTCAATAATTAAAGCAAATTTATCAAACACGGCGATGAGCTCTGAATTGTAACTTGTCGCTTTTATAAACGAGTTTCGATCGAGCGCGTAAAGGACAGATGGCTCGCTCGCGACGACTGTTCCCCGCCGATAACCATTGTAGATCAGCGCGAGTTCACCAAAATGCGAGCCTGTGCTTAATTATATGAATAATTTTGATTCAAAATACTAGAACAATAATATAAAAAGATATAAAATATATTTCTTAATTGTCTTAGTAAAATAAATTTAAATAATATTTATAATTAAAATAATTATAAAAAAATACCAAAACAATAAAATAATATTGAAACATTGAAAAAAAAATTCTAAAAAAATGATGGATTATAAAATATTATTAAGGATTTAGTCAATATCAAAAAAAGGTTTTATATTTAAAAAAAGAAAATAAAGTTTTTAATAAATTAATAACTTATAAAATATTTTTTAAAGTTTTTTATAATAAAAATAACTTTATTATCTATTTATAATAATAAAAGATATAACAAAAAAGATACAAGAATGATATTTAAGAATATATTGAAAATAAATAAAAACATTTGAATAAAACGTGATTAAGTTATTATTATAATAAAAGTTATACTTTTTTTTTATCAAAAACAGTAATTATAATAAAAAATTACTTTCAACATAAGTTATAAAAAAATTATAAAAAAAAAACTATTTCTTCATATGCTTTTCCATATTTTTCTATTTCCTTTCATAAAAAACTTTTATTTCTTTTAGCTTATTAATATTATGTTAATCCTAATTAGTATTTTATTATACTTTCAAGCCACATATTGGTACTATCGCTATACATATAAAACTTTATTTCTATTTTCATTACAACTTTCATTATATTAAATCTTTAAATTTCTTTCAATCGTGTACAAATAGTAATCAAACATATTTATTTTAATAAAAATTATAGTAAATTTTTCTTTTTAATACTTTTTGTATATATAATATATAAATATCATGAAAATTACCATTTGAAGTTAGAAAATTTATATTAGAAAAATTAATACACGTCAACAGATTTGTACTTAAAGTTATAGATAATATATAGTTAAAGTTTTCTTATTTTTTTAGGAGCCTTACTTGAAACTTTATGATCGGAAAATTAATTAAAATATATATTATAAGTAAAAAATAAAAAATAAAAATTCTTATTAGATAGCAAAATTTCTTTTATAAGAAAAATTAATAATCACTAAAAATTTATGATTCACTAAATGACTTAAAAAGTTTTAAAAATATAATGGTAAATACATTAAAGTAAAGTTTTGTAAATATTAGATATTCATCGCTTAAGTATTCATAAAAACTTCATTATTACAACTATTTTTTTTAATATTTTACAAATTGTAAAGTCTATAATTAAAAGTATAATTTTTTTCAATATAATAGAAAAGTTACAAAAAAATTAATCATTATTTTTTGTTTTTATTCTAATAAAATATATTTAACTTTTTGTCTTAAACTATAAATAATTAACTTTTTAAAAATATTTTTTAGTAAAAAAAATTATATTTTTCGTAAGTAGCATAAAAGTGTATTTATTTTTTATTGTAATAATAATTTGATTTTTCTAGTGTAAATTATATAAATATAATAAAATATAATTAAAGCAAAAAATTTATAATTTTTTTTTAATAAATGAAATTGTTAAGTAAACTTTTCTAAATAAAATTTTAAAAGTCATTTTCATTTTTCTTTGTTAAAATAATATAATAATAATAACTATAACTAACTTTTTTCTTTGTTAAAATAATGTAATAATAATAACTATAACTAACTTTTACTAATTTATTAACTAAAATTTTTTTATTATTAATTTAAATTAACATTTTATTTTGTTATATTATTTATATATAATTTTAAAATTTATTTAACATAAAATTTTTAATACTTTAATTCTTGTTTGGTTGAATTTTACTTTCGGCCTTCATTATATTATATATACTTTAATATTTTTTTATTCTTTAAAAAGCTTTTAATATATATTTATATATTATGTAAACTCTATAAATAACAATATAAAAGTAATTAAAACTAGTATATAATTTTTTTATTAGTACAATATTTAAAGCTCTTCTATTATATTTGTTACTATGAAAGTAAAATAACTAATTCTAATTATTTCTTTTAAAACAAAATTAAAAAAAAGGAATGTATTATATTTCTTGTTTATATTTAATATAAAGAACGTTTTTACTTTTTTATTTAATACTTAAAAGTAAATACGATAATATTTCTATAATATTACTACTAATTATAAAAAATATAAAACTTTTTATTTTTACGATTTATTATTGTAATATTATAATTATAATCAAATGGTATATAATAAAACAAGAATGCCTTCTTGTAAAGTAGCTCGATGAAAAGATTTTTTATTTCTTTTGCGAATGTACAATTCGCACTTTCCTTTAGTGATGACATAAAAATAGTGACCATAATCTCCTAAAGTTTTTAAATATTTTAAATATAATTAAGTTGATAATAATAACTCTAAAAAATTAAAAATTTTGTAGGTAATAAACAAAATTAATAATATAAAGTAAAATTATTATGAATTTTAATAAAAAAATTATTATAAACTTCATAATTTCTATAAAAAATAAAGCAAAAATATTAAAATATATAAAACTTGAAAAACTTATTAATATAAAAACTTTAGTTATATTTTAAGTAATTATTCATAATTATAATTTAACTTTATAAATAATGTTCATATAATTTTATTGTTCATTAAAAAAAGTTTAATAATAATTTATAAATAAGTTAATAATATAAAAATTCATAACAAATTATTAATAAAAAAATAAAGCTTAAAAATTATATATACAAGCAAACATTAAAAGTTATATAAAAAATTTTGTTGAAAAAACAAAAAATTTTTTTTAAAATGTATATTATAATAAAAAAGTTTTAAAAAAGTAAATAATTAAAAAATACAAAAACTAGTGATTTTAGAAAAAGCAAATATATAAAAAATTGCGACAAAGTAAAAAGTAATTAAATTTAAAAAAAATTATAAGCAAAATTAGTAAAAAGTTTAAATTGTATAAAAAAGTTTAAAAATAATCAAAATTTAAAACAAAACAATAATTTTTGAACATAATAAATTAACTTTAATACTGAAAAAGTTGATAATAATTTTTTGCAAACTAAGAATGAACTATTAAAAAGTTCAACTTAGTTCATATATTTTTAAAAAAAAAGAGATAAAAATAAGTTTATTATAATTTATATAAAGCTTTAAAAATAGAATTTAAAATCAAAATTTTAAAAAATAGTTAACTTATATTCATATAAAAGTAATAATAGTTATAAGAATATAAAATTATATAAATACAAAAATATATGCAGAAACGAAAAAAAAATTTAAATTTAATCTTAAAACTAAAAAAAAATTTAATAAAATAATTTTATAAAAATATATATAAATTTTAAATAATATAAAATACATGTATTAAATTCTCAACAAACAGTATGTAAGAAGTTTAATTTACTAAATAAAAATTATAACCCTGTCGAAATAATATATCATCTTTGTCAAGTTCAACTCTTGCAAAATTCTCAACTAACTTTCTTTTTTCATCGGGAGAAAGTGGAGAAAACGCAGAATTATTACAAATGGATCGTAAGATCATCTTTGCTTCTCGATCCTTAAACATTAATATTATAATATTGAGAAAAAAAGCTTATTATAGTAAAGGATATTATGTGGCAGTCTTTTTAAAATTGTAAACATAGAAAAAGATGTAATAAAGTTTATAGTGGTGTTGTGAATAAGGCAGTTTAAAAGTTGACTCTCATAAAATAAACTACTTTATATATAAAAATCAAATAACAGTTTTTTCCTTCGGACGGCTATTAAGACTGCGCTGCGAAAGAGACAAGTGAGACAAAGAAAATAATCCAGGGCGAGTTTCCTTTAAGGTATTATTATTTTAAAAATAAATATGTAGTTATTATTATGGTTCTGAAATTTCAAACTTACGTTAAAAATAAATAAATGAATATATAAAACAAGATTTTCAAATGAAAAAATTAGATAGATTTTGCCTTAGAAGGTTCTTTCTTCCGGAAACTGTTCAGAAGATTTTTAAAAGGTGTTACAAAGTCTAAACCCATCTTTATAATTTAAAAAGCTTTAAAACAAGCTAAAGTTTATAAAGAAAAAGGAACATTCTTTTAAGATATTATAAAAAACATTAATTTAATAAACGCCTAAATAGCTTTTACAATGAGCTCATCAGAAGTTACTAAGATGGGTTAAAGAAATCGTGATAACTTAATTTGACGAAGCGATTTTCTGCAGAGAAACGGGGTAACCCCACCCCCTTCTCTCTCTTGCAGCCAAGTTCTCAAATTATTTAATTATGACAAACAATTTGCATTTTATAGACCACATGAAGAGATAACTAACTAATTAACTAAATTAAATTTATAATTTTCAACTTGCTCTCACTAAGTTATTAAACCCTTATATACTTTCATCTTTTTTATAACACCCAAGTTTATGTGTCTAAGCTTATAAAAAACGACGAGTTACCGGCGGCTCCTCGTAAGCTCTTTGTTACAATTACCAGTGTATGGCTTGCAAACATACATGTTTCTCGCAATACTTAAAAGTTAAAGGATACCTGTTACTGCTCTTAGCGTTATGTTTACAATAGACTTAAAGCTATTTAGGTGATCTGCAAAAAAATAATACCGAGCTAATGATGGATAAAGAAGTGTAGTAGGTAATTTGCTAATAAGTTAATAAGAGCGCTAAAGCCTACTTTGCTTTAATTATTATCTTATTTATGTTGGTATTCACGTTTACCTTCTATACAGATAGACAAACGATTTATCCAGAACGCCACATATACGTCTGTACTCATAATTATAATTAGCGTGTCAGGTAATTTTCTTTGTACTTTTTGTTTTAAGAATAGTTAAAGAATTCTCCAAATTTTGTTTGAGTTCCCCTGTTAAATAACAGGAATATTACTTTCTGATCTTTGCAAAGGTTAATGAAAGAGATATAAATCGCCACATCAGCAAAAAAAATTAACTTGAAGAATCATTCTTCTCTTAACATGCTTTAGATTAGATGTTTCTGAGAGACTACTACCTTTCCAGTAAGTTTTCATGATTTATTAAATTTTAAGTGTTTTCACTAAATTCAAAGAAATACTAAGTTCTTTGTGCAGTCTTAACTAATTGTACAAACTGCTTTTTTATGATCCCGCTGAAATTTTGTTAAGCTTTAAGATCACTACCTTAGTCAAGAGAAGTATTTGATAATAATAAGTAGATAATCGTTGTGAACACCGATTTTAAAAAAAAAATTATTTTTTGTTTGACACAGGTGTTTGGGGAGTCAATCGCTTTGTTTAAGCTATTTGCTTAATTTGTAATTATCATGAGGGCAAAGTCAATGAGGGCTTTGCAAAAGTAACCAGGAATGTTTAAATAGTTTTCTTAATGTTTAAAATATATATAATAAAACTATTTTAACTTTATGGTTAGTTAGTAGTCCTTATGGCTACAAAGGTATTTATCAACATCAGCTAAAATGCCCACTACACTAAAACTACTACCTTCACAAATTGCTGGTCCCCTAGACCTACATACATCTACAACAACAAAGATGCAAAAAAATCCGAAAAAGAAAAAAAGAGGGGTGAAGAAAATAAAAGAGCCAAACATGTTTTTATTTATTTATTAATTGACATACTACAGTTAGATTCTAATTAAAAGAGGGCCTAAGGTACTGCTTAATGTAACCTAAATGGGCAGGGATGTCCGCCCGAAGGAGCATGCACTATCATGACTGTCCCGAAGGGTTGAACAAGCAGAAAATATCGGGACCCGACTCCCGCCATTCTGCCTAGTGTGGTGGAAAACCTCCTAAAAAACCACCACCAGGAGGACGGCCACAGTACAAGAGACTCGATAACCATATAGAGACTATGACCAGCGCCATTGCCAGCTAGGCCTCCCCGATTAAGTGCTTTCACCCGAGGGGAAAGCCTAGGACGAGACATGTTTGTGAATATATATACCAAATATTAATGAAATTAATTTAAAAAGTACCTAATAAACAGTAATTAGTTACTCTCAGAATTAGAATACGTGCTGTAAGGTAATTAAAACTTTTTACAAACAATTTAAAATTCGGTCGATAATTTTTTTGCTATAAATTTTTTAATTGTAAGTTCCGGAAATCATATTGTTTTGCTTGTAGCATGCTGCGTTTAACAACCCTTACTTAGTTCCTTAACGTTTATAGCACTTATAGATATAGGAGAAGTGAAAACTTTTACATAACCATGACAATTATGACTACTTTCCAACGAACAGGAAAATCTCCATATTAAAGCAGAATCGACCGGGCCATTAATTGTTCAGGAAAGGTTGCATACCAAACCTTTGGGGTCACTACCCATATAAAAAAAGATGGCAATTATAAACACACAAAGAGGAGATATATGACTAAAAAAAAATTATGAAAATAGAGCTTTAATTAGGAAATAATAACTAATATACATATTCAGACAAAAAAGCTAAGACGTATAAGAACAAAAAAAGACAATGTAACGCTAGACACAGGAAACAAAAGCAAATTTAACTTAAAAAAAAAAAGAATAAACACAACAGAGGTCTTCATTTGAACTGGCTAGACCAATTTTTATGTTTGCACGTGTAATGGAAGGGCTTCGAGGCAAATTTAACACTCTAGCAAGCCCCTCTACCTAAAGAGAAGGCCGGCTTACGATTTAAATAATAGGAAATATTTTATTTGTCAGGACTGCTTGGACTTACAAACGCAGTACTACTTTTTACTTACAAACCTTCAGGCACTAAACTGGTGCACTCGCTTTCAAAGATTGGACGAATCAAGTCGTATAATTAAAATTTTTTTAAAATTAACTTAAAGAATCTGTGTATGGTAGATATAACTTACAAACTATATATAGAAATAGATAAAGTGAGTAAAAGCTCGTGATATATCACTAAAATAAAAAGCGTTTGAAGGAATTAACAAATTTAGTAATACTATTGTTTGTGTTTAAATATCCACCAATCATGCGTCTTTTTGGGCTTAGTTAAATGAAACTACTTCTACTCATTTTTAAAAGACAAAGATAAGACCCCCATGAGCTCGTATATAGATGAGCGGTTTATGAATCGTATACTCTGCTGCTTGATAACTTATTTTTAATTGTTTTACTTTATTTTAAAAGGTAATAAGTACATAAATGTCGTCCCTGAACAGATAAGCTGATAAACTATTAATTTATAAGCATAGATGAAGTTTTCACAGTTTGAATTCTTTTTAATATTAAGTTAATCGTAAAAAAAATCACTTTTTCAATATTTCAAGTTGTATATCTCGTTATAAAGGTTTCTTGGCGGATAGTACTTTTATTCATTTGGACTTGATATTTAATAAATGATTTTATTCGTAGTAGTAAATCTAACAGACTCATTTGAGCTAAAAAGCCAAAGCATCAAAAGTATAGTTGGTCTTTAGTGAGTGACCATGCGGGCCACCGCGCACCAGCCGCTACTGGTCGAGCTTTAGGAAAAAACCGTTTACAAATAAAAAAATTAATTGTCAGGCAACGTTTTTCTGATTAAAAATGTGACTAACTTGGGGAGCTTTATTACATATACCGTGTTTGAATTGTAAAAACTTTTGTCTACATTTTCTATTCTTCTAGTAAGAATGTGAACATATTCGTGAACCTCTGGCTATAACTACGCCTGCATGTAAAAGTAGCGCTGAAGACCAATCCACACTTCAAGCAAGAGAAGTTTGAGGTTACTTTTTCTATCACTGAAATAGAGTTGTGGCGCATTTTCTAAGCTCGGGCTACACGACTTCGTATTATTTGGCGCATTTTCAAATTAAGTGATTTTTTAAACTTTACACTCTCTTAGGCTATGTCAAAAATATCTTTTTTAATCTGTAAAGCATCTACAAGTTAATGAGTGAAAACCTTCCTCCTTTGGATTTCGGTAGTTATTCAACTTTACATTCCAATATATAGAAATTTTGTCGATTTTTTTAATCACCTATTAAATACTTAAAGTTTTTATTCTTCTCTTGCTAAATTTATTAGGGGATTTGAACCATGAAGTTCGAATATGGGACCTAGACGAAACACTTATTATTCTCTCTTCTTTACTCACAACACAGTTTTCGGCTGCCCACAAAGAAAGTTCGACTTTGTGCAATTATTTAGGTTATTTTATAGGTTTATTACCCTCTCATCAGTAATTTTATTATATTATGTTGAGGGAGGGAAATGATGAAATTTTTGTTTATAATACTGGAAGAGTTTTTTGCTTTCAAAGAGCTGGAAGATCATAATATTACAAATTTTGAAAATTTAGATTATACAAATACAATAGACAATACATCTTGCCTTCCAGATCCGGTTAAGAAAAATGTAATATGTGGCTATAACTTTTTTTTCTATATGTATTATGGGTTTTCAATGTGAGTTAGGTTCAGGAGTTGTATATTAGAAATAAAGAATTCTATGATAACAATAGGAATTATATTCAGTTCGGTAAAGCATCCTTTTGTAGTTACTATCAATATCGGTGATAACATTTATTTTTTAATAACGCAGAGTTTGTGCCCGAAGAGATTCGTACACCTCTTAGCGCTGTATATGAGGAAATCGATAGTCTTTCCTCTTCGTGGCTTAGTATTTCTTACCTCATTTTGGAAAAATCGCAAACGTACAATCTTAAGTTTAAGTTTGTTTTCTCTAAAATTGTTTCTACTACTCCGAGCCTCGTCATAATTTTCACTCCAAAATTGACTGCTGCAGATGCACAAACGTAACTAATTTAGTTGTTACTTCCAGTCATATCCTAGGAGCTCTAGCGAAGCTGCTGCTTTTTAAATTAAGTATGAGTGCAATATATAATAATACGTAGATTTTTTTTATTTTCTTTGATCACGCCCGCCTATGGTCAACAAGGCCCTTTTTTTCCAGCACAAAATGTCTACAGTTCTTCTGATGTCGGTATTTTCCAATGATGGCTGTTTCTTAATTTCCTTAATTACTCTGACTTTATTTTCGTAATAATACTTTTTACACCGGGTGTTAAACAGTTTTTAATTTTTATACCCATTTCTACAGGAAAGCTGGCCTGTTTTATCCATATTATTTCAAAATTTGGCCATAAAGTTAGCTACGTTGTTATTGGAGATGGAAAAGAAGAAAAAGCGGCAGCTTCAGAGGTCCGGACTGCTCTTATATTATTTGTTTCTTTTAATTTTGGCTCTGTAGATGGGGCTACACTTTATTGAAATTAACAGTTTGCTTCAACTAAAATCGCTTTATGGGAAAGAAAGACTCAGATAAGTAGAAACTGTTTTTGTCAATAAAACCAAAAAAAAAAAATTGAAAATTATTTTTTCACTATAAGTATCTCTTTGGGAGATATAACACTAATAAAACAGATTTTGTTATCACTTCAGCGTAATTAACGCTTTATTCAAACTCGAAAAATAATTTTGCAAAATAAAATGGCTTCTAATTTCACAATTTTTTAAGAATATTATATTTTTCCCAAAAAATGATTTTGAAATACGTTAACCCTATAACATATATTTTTTACGTAATATGCTTTAAAGGAAAGTAAAATCTATAAATATTAACTAAAGCTGCTGAAATTTACCATTAACTTAAAACATAAAATCAACAATTTTTTATAAATTATTAGTAGATTTGAAACCAACTCTATGTTGACGTTACCTTTAAATCTAACGCTATATAACTGGTTAGGTCAATGCCCATGCTAATGAGAATGCTCAAAATTTAAAACCATACTTAAGATAGTAAACTATATTTAGCAGTAAAATCTCTATAATAACTTTAGCAGTACATATGGCGGTCTACAGTGTAAATACGGCTAGGTTTAGAGCAAAGGCAACTTAGAAAAAGATTATGTGCAATAAAAATAGACGAAGGTTTGTGATAAAATCAGGCAAAAGAATCGCTAAACAAGACAGTTTCTTCTGCCGCTCAATGAACCAAGGTCTTTGCCAGTGAGTTTCTTTTCTTTTGTAATTATTTTTTGTATATATTCTCGACCAGTAGTGTAGCTAGTTGTTGCTTTTCTATACTTGGCACGCAGTATGACTCGAACTCATATAATGGATTTGTATGTAACAGATTTTTAATCAATGAGTTGGTAGCATTTTCATACTACAAAGTATGAGCATGAACACAATTCCTGTGTTTTAACAAAAAGAGAAGGAAAATTTACTAAAGTTTTAATAAAATCCGGGCAGCCCCATTGGCTGAAAATGCAGAAAAAATGGCTCACGGTATTATCCGAAGAAATAATAACAGAGCACGGAGCCGCTGTTTAAAATAGCATTATTTTAGATTGCTACAGTTTAGTAAAGTTTAACTCGGTTTTCTGTAGTTTAATAGTATGCAACTCATCACATGGCATTTTAAACACGTTGATATCAGCGTTTACATTTACATAATACATGTCAAGTAAACTAAACAAGAAGCTCTTTTATTAGTTACAAACTTTTTATAAATAATAATCAGTGTAATTATACTATATTTTAAGCTAAGCATTTTTCTTTTAATACTATATATTGTGGGTACATTTAATAAGCAAAATGTTTCATATATTCATTGTAGTTTCATTTTCTTGGGCCGAAAATTCTAAATTGTAATTAGTCGCATTATTATTTGTTAGTACAAGTATCAAGAACCTTCTAAAGTGCACTCTTTTAAAATACTTATCAACATTTCGGAATTAAGGAAATCAGAAGTTGCATTTGTATAATTAATATTGATTCGTTTCAAATGGGATTTATATAACTTAAGAAACTCGCAAAAAGAATTAAGACAAACACATGATATATTATTATAAGAAATGTCCAGCACTTCAAGGTTAGTTAGTCTAAAGTTAATTATTATTATTATTATTATTAAGTTATCCGTGTCCAAAAAAAAACACTTTTTAGTAGAGAATAATATATTAAAGCCTTCTGGTTGAATGTTGTTTCCAGATAAAGAAAGCTCTTGCAATAAAGATTGAGAAGACTATAAGGAATAAAAATTTAATTAATAATATAATAATAAAAAAATATGATTTAAGAGGAGGCTTATATTTCATTTAAGTGAAAAGGAATGAGTATTTCTTAATTCAATACATATAAATAAATGCACATATTATACTATAAATTTTGTAAGCGCATGCATTTTGGAATCGTCCAAGCCGCAATTTTCAAACTTTATTCTCTATAATATTGTTTAAAAAAAGTATGAAACGCAAAAAAAGTAATTTCTTTAATTATTTTATTAAAAAGAGGGTGGCCACGCTCGAAGTTTTTATTGGGGGATATACCAGTAAATTTTTAAGTAGTTTAAAGATAAAAGCTAACAGATTATAGTTTACAATATGTTGTGTAGTCATCCGTGATTGGCTCTTTCTAAAAATAAAAGCAGAAAAAATAAACTCTATGATTAGAAAAATATTCCTTTGTGTTTTAATTTATTTCGATTTTTATAGTATTCTACAACAGAACTTCGCTCTGCTCATTAATAAAATAATATAGTCAATAATAGAGCATTTAAATTTGTTCTTGTATTTCTCAACTATAGATTAATAACGCGGTCAAGTCGGCACTACTTAAGGCAGACTTATTAATGAAGCTCGTTGTGAACGTAAGTGGATATATGCTACAAATATATTAATGCATAACTAAAGCAGTTTATTAGTAAGAACACCTTCAAAGTTTTTATATGTTCCAAAGAAGCAATAAAGCAATCGAAATGGGAAACGACTGTTAAACTCAACCGCGCAAAATCCAATTCATTAAAAGAAACATAACAACATTCAAGCGAGCCATATTCGTTAACTAATTCTGTTAAAAAAAAATTACTTAACTTTTTATAATATACAGAACATAGTTGAAAAGTAATATTAAGTTGTATAACAATATAGAAAAAAAAAAAACTTAAAGATTCATTAGTTAGTAAATGTGTAATACCAAATAAGTACAAAATAACCATAAGATATTAATAATAATGAACCTAATATATGGTAAAGTTCATCGTTGAACACAAGTTTTTTTTCTTTGCTAAGTTTCTTGTAGCGTTCAGCTAGTTCTTCATAAGATACCGAAGCACAAGAGACAGTAAATTCCTTACAGTAGTACATTAAAAACTATTCGAGATAATTATAATTCACTAAACTTTATGGTGCAAAAGTTGATTGGTTTCCTCTATCAGTCCTTCGTTTTTTCTTGCGTAAATCTTAATAGCGTGAATGATATGAGTAATATTAGAAAACACTAATAATAATATACTTTGAGATTTGTGAGCCGAAGGCCGTATTTACTTAAAAAGTTTTGTTCCACGTCTTTATAAAGAGTTTCAGTATTAGTATAATTACCTTGAAGCTGCATATAAATAATTATAAAAGTAGATATACATATTATAATAATTAAAAAGAGCGAATATATAATAATTTAAATAAAATCATAAAAACCACAAGACCTATAAAAAGTATTTACTATTATTATTAAGTAACCTGAACGACATAGTCATGATAATAAAACAGTTTTTCATGTTTTGCTGAAACCTCCAATTTATCTTTACCAGCAGCGAACTGACAGTTTTTGTAAGAAATAGTCAGCAAACTTTTTCTAGCGCCACTTGCAGTTGAAGACTTCTTATGTTTGATAAAATTCCCGCTTTTCCGAGGTAACTCTCGGTTCACTTTTTTTACTGCGACCTTGCCGACCCCAACAACCCGATGTACTAGCAAACGCCGAGAAGCCACGTGTTTCGAGGAAGAGGAGATTTTTCTACGCCCTTTATTGCATTCATCATTATCTAATGGAAAAGACATACCGCAAAATCACGTGACAGAATTTTTCTCATAAACAAGGATAGCAATAGTTACCACTTTCCTGAAGATCAATTATATCGTCTTCTTCGCTCTGAAAAGAAGTGATAAAATTATATAATATCCAATAATAATAGTAATGACAATCAAACTTTTTCATTATCTTTCCCATCCTCCTCCATTTCGCTATAATAACAATCCTCATCCTCATCCTCTCCCTCTTCCATGTCGCTCTCTAAACCTTCCTTGTCCAGCTCTTCATACTTTTTTTCTATTTTTTCATAAGCTGCTATAACTTTATCTCGACTAAACGCTCTTCCATCATTTAAATAATTCATAATAAAGTTAATACAAATGGTAAAAATATAAGGAATATTAAAGATAGTAAGAGCATTTATAAAAATGAAAAAAATAATCAGTAGCTTAATTAGGTTTTAAGATATTTTAAAACCAAAAGCAAACAGGAGATTTATCCATAAAAATTAAACAATAATTTACGTTCTTGGCTACAAATAATTTTTTAACCAATGAAATAATTATAAGATATTGAATACACCTTACATAAATTATGAAGTTAACGAATAGAAAATTCTTTCATAGTTTAGAGAAATTATGAAATAATAACAACTTGATTGGTCCAGCGAAGGAGGCGACAGGAACTTTTTTTTCTCGTGAAAGTTTGACAGGTTCAATAGATAAGTTTCTTTCCCGCATGGCAGCTTTGAGATATTCTTTTACTTCATTTTCTGCCAAATCCTATAATATTTATGTAATAATAATAATAATAATAATAATAATAATAATAATAATAATAATAATAATAATAATAATAATAATAATAATAATAATAATAGCAGTACGATTGGCCTTTGGAAGAGTCTCGTAAGAGCTGTTAAAGAAGCACCTTTTTCCACCAACATTTTCACGATTGTTAAATTCTGTCTAATAAAGATACTAACGAACGGGAAAAAAGCAAGAAGTGAATACGCCAGTAGAGGCTGCTTCGTGCAAGGGCGTAAGTCCGTCTTCATTATCTGCGGAATCTACTTTTATACTTGAAACAATTGGAAGTAAGTCAACCAATAGAATTAAATATTTTATGATTTTAAAATGTTTAGGCCCATCTTTAGCGTCTATAAATAGTTTTGTTCCCATTGGCTATATATTTTAAAAATAAAATATAATTGGATTAAAAGTTTTAATTAAATATTTTTAAAATCCCAAAACTTTGTATTTATTAATCATTATTACTTATTATATTTTACTCAACAATTTTAGTATTAAAATTGTATTCATATAAATTTTTTTTAAATCGCTCTATGCATTACAAAGAAAATATGTACTTTTTTAGCATCGATAATAGATTCCAATTCAAAACCCCATGAAACACTGCAATATAGTAAAATATTTCTAATAAATATCACTTTTATATAAAGAACTTTTGCTTTTACACATGTACACATTCTACTTAGAATTAAATAAAAAATCCTTTCCTAAGATTATATAACCAACAAAAAAGCACATTAAAAGTTCAGGGAAGAAAACTACATAATAATAAAATAGAGTTCATATCAACGACATTATTATTAAATTTTTCATAAAGTAAAATAGTATTCCTTCCTATATTTTTTTTAGATAGCTAAACTCGTGAACTTCCTTAAAAAGAATGAATGTATTATAAAAGCGACGCCCAATGCAAGTAATGCAAACTTTCGTATTAAATAAAAAATATTTTATATCAGTAATAAAGGTGTTGTTTTTTTAATAAATTATAACAAATGCTACATGGATAAGCAAAAATTTATTATTTAAAAGTTAATAATAAATTATTAACAAAAAAGAAATATAAGATATATAATATTTATAAATAGCGACGTCTTTGAAAAGCTTTTTGTACTATACAATATTTTTTAAATCTATAAATACAATTTTACATATTTTCATTCACAATAGTTTTTCAATTTTGTAGAATGTCAATATAATCTTTATAAATGCTCAACTTTTTATTTAAATTAGTCACCCATCAAAAAACGGCCAAAAAAAAAAGACTGCAGGAAAGCAAAATAATATAAATAATAGCAATAGCAAAGCTTACTCGACTTGCTCAAGAAGAAGTTCAACAATTGATGTCCATCCATGATTGACCGCTTCGTGTAAGGGTGTCCAGCCCGCATGGTCATAAGCATTAACGTCTATAAAATAAATAAACATGGTGAGTATAATAAATAACTTGATACAATATATAAAAATGATAATAACCGGCTCCTTCCTCTAGTAGTTCTTTAACTTTAGAAAAGCTCCCTTTTATGCACGCAACTTGTAGTAAAGTCTATTAAAAATAATAATAAACGTACATAATTTATATAATTATTGTAAAAATAAGCGAAAAGTAAAGTGTATACCTCGCCTAACTGATTTCTTTTAGTTAACTTTTTGGAATCCCTACGCATTATTATAGTTTTCATATTATTATTATTAATATCATTATAATACGTGAGAATTCTAGCAGTTGCCCTATGATCTTCAGGTTTATCATCCTCTGACTTTTCATAAAACTCGTCTTCTTCCGAAGTAAACTATTATATAAAACTTTACATCACTTTATTATTGTATGATTTTTTGTGGTACGTCATAAATATTAGTCTTTTCAATACTGTTATTTATCATTATTTATAGTTAAAAAATAATATATATATTTATTTTAAGTACCTTTTTCAAAGTAATACTTCTACATTTTAGTTTAATAAGCTAAGCACTAAGAGCTTTATATTCTTGTAAATATTTATTATAAAACTATTCTCACAATTTCATTACTTTTCATGTAGTTTTTTTTGACCTAAAATAAGCTTCAATATTTTGAAGTTATTACTTGGTAGCTTCTACATTACTACTTTAAATTTTTATTTTGTTGACTATTAAAAAAGTAATGAAAAGTACTAATAACAAAATGTGGCCAGCCTGTTCTGCAGTATGCCAGAAATATTACGTAAACTTAATGTAAAAAAAAGTTTCACAATAAACCAAAAAAGTTAGTAAACCACAAGCAGGTCGTACAAGCAGGTAAAAGCACATGGTAATATACATGCGATTCAAGCCAGTAGAATAAAAATTACTGCTATTTCGCTGCATAAAAAATTGAGCTTACAGATTTCTATGGCTCAAATCCCGTGCATGACTTTAAAAATATAAAACAAAACCTCAACAGTTCCTAGAACAGTTTCGCTATTTTTTTATGTACCACTTTAATAATTACTAATATCAAAGATTTTTATGTTGCTTACTTTTAGTTTAATTATTTACTATTTACTTATAATCGTTGTATTCACTAATATTTTTATGGTTATTCCATTAGTTTTTTTTATTAGTTTTGGTTAGTGTTGTTAATTCTTAGCAACTTTCAAATGTTTATAAATTATAAGTTTTCAACCGCTTTAGTTATTTCTTAATTCTTTATAATATTCTTATAGTAAATATTATATTCTTTTCACAACTAAACCTTTTTTTTGATAACTGATAGTAACATTACTTATATTATTAAGGTTAGTCTTACTTTAAAAATCCCTTACCCTTCTTTTTAAAAAGTTTATTAAAATATTTTATGAAAATATTAATAGTAGTTAAAATAATGATTATATAAAAAAACCAATTCGTCCTCTTCCGTTTCATCTTCATCAGTAAAATAAGCGGGATATTTTTGTTTTATAGCATCAAGTTGATCCAAATAATCAAATGCTAATAAAAAAAGTTTTATAAACATTTATACTTTTACAATTTAAGGTTACTAAATGAATTTTTACTGAAGTAATTTAATTGGTTAATTTTTAACCAATAATAAATTATAATTTATTAAATTATTGGTTTATAAACAATCAATATTAATTTTTAATATATGAGCGCAATAATAAAAATTAATATGCTAGTTGATTGGTTAATTATGTCCAATAACTTTATAAGTGATTAACACTAATCATTTAGTTGGTAATGCGAATTAATATTATAAATTAATTTGGTTGGTAATTGTGATAAAGTATCCAATGACTATACACTTGTTAGTGGATTTGTTAATTTAATCCAATTATTATACTGAAGTAGACTTTAGAAAATTTATTAACTGGCAATATTTTGTTTATTGATGATTGGCGTTTTTACCATCTATTCTAAAAATATTCGATAATTTATCAGTTCAAAGCAATAACTGACTAAAGAATAGCCTCTTCATAGATACATTAATATTCCTAATGGTTAATATACAACCAATGAACCTTTTAAAATTAATTAATGAAGGGCAAGTTATTGAAATATTATGCGAGCAAATAGTCATTCTTTGATAATATTTTTTACTAATTGTTTAATGAGTTTAGCCAGTCCTACAATTATTAATGCTAAGTAAATATATAAAAAGTTTCTTGTGAGTCACAATACTTTAACAATAATAATGATATGTTCTAAGCAAAGGGTGGATTAATAAGTATGCCTTAAACTCTAACTGGTTGCCCAATAACTATAAAAACCTTTAATTGGCTAATAATCAAGCTCACACTCATTTCACATGGAAAACCTTTTATTTTGTCGTAACTTTCCACATGATCCACGAGGACAACAAGTTTTCTTAAATTTTCTTTCATCATTCGTAGCACATCGTCTAATAAACTGCTCTCCTCCTCTTTTACGCCCTCTAAAAAGGCCTCTGCGCCAATAACAAGCTCTTCACGTGCTTTAACTAGAGTTTCCTTAGACTCTTCGCTAAACTTGAAGTAGTGCATTAATAATAGCGTTATAACTTTTTTATAATCATTTTTAATAGAAAATATTATAAAAAAATAAATTTACTTTATACAGCTTTTAAAAATTATTTAAGATAATTATTTACTTCCAGGGATCTAATAAGAGTGTCCATCGCGTTAAAAAAAGCACTTTGGGACATTTTTTTCGACCACTCAACAGCTATTTTTGCGCATTTAACGGCCTACCGGATCATTACAAACCCCCAACTGATTCAATAAAAACGTTTGTTTCGAAACCTCACTGTACTCCTTGACATCCAAGTGCGTTTCCGCCAATGAATAGTAAATATCGAACATTTTATCATTAGAAACAGAGCTTGCACATTTTTCCTTTAATACATACCAATAGTTAAAACTCAATTAAATAAATATTTAAAGAACACTGACTGTATTAATGAGTAAATATAAAAATTTATTGAAACATTAAGGGTTATGCGTACTGATATATAAAAATGATCGTATATTGAAGTCATTGTCTTATAATAAATTATAAATGAGCTCTGCATGGTTTATTATCATAAAAAAATAACACTTTGAATGTTGAAAAATAAATATTCACGTGCCAGATAAGAAAGCATTTTTATGCACCAAAACAAATCCGTTGGTTTAATAAATCACACTCAGTTCCTTAGGGTTATGTGTTAGTTAAAAAAAATAAAGAAACAAAAAAAAGTTCATTTATTTTCATGTTTTAACAGTCAACAAACCAACAGAAAAACGATTACCATTTGTCCCCGTAAAAATAATCATAAAAGTAGAATTAAGTGAATGTACCAAATAAGATGAATATAAGTTTCACTACTAAATATTAGAGAAATTATACGAGGTTACATGCAAATTTACGTTAAAACTGCAATATTAATATAGGTTCGTATGTCCCAATTATTACAAAACAATCATTGTAAGAAACTCATAAAAATATATAAATCTTTAATAAAATTAATTGAAACAATAAAAATAATATAGTTTAAATAATATTAATATTAAATAATTTCTAGGCTTCTGGTAAATTTAAGAGCTTTAAAAGTTTTTGTTTACTTTAACATAGTAACTAACTCTTTTTCTACTATTTTAATATAAATTAGTTACATGTTTAAAAAGTTGAAAAATTATAGCAGTTTTACAGTATAGGAGAAATATTAATTAAAATAGTTTAAATATAACATAATATAAACAGCTATTAACTACCACGTGGAGAAGATACATGAAATAAGTCAGTATTTTTAAAGTAATAACTCAACTTAATATGGGAATATAAAAAAATCTTAAATATATTTACTGCCATCAAGTTTGCGTGCTTCAAAAGTAGCCAATAAAACTTTAGCGCTTTTTGCGGTTTTTCTAACTCCACGTGGTAATCAGCGATTTCCTCTAAAACTTTGTATTTTTTTTCATCCGTAAGATCGTCTTTTAATAGCTCTAGCATTATTACGGTAAATAAAAATCCTACTCGCGCACGAGAAATGGATGAAGTCTTATATATTACTAAGTAAAAATATATAAAATAATAGTGTATAGATAATATATATATATATAATTACAATATACAACAAAAATATGAAGATAATATATAATGATATCAATACATATACAAAGTAAATTAAAATAATATACAAGAAATATATTTATACACTTTCATAAAGATAAATATTAGTGTTAAGCAGAAACAATAACAAACTTGCTATTTTAATGAATATATAAAAAACTATAATTTAACAATTAATAAAAATGAAGAGAAATATATTATAATAAGAGATATAATTAAAAAAACATTAAATAAAATAATAAACATATGAATTAATAATATGACTTGCATATAAAAATGTGAAATACTAAAATAATCAACATTTTTTAAAAAATTAAAAAAAATTAAACCATGTGTAAACTCAAAAAACAAAAAGGTTTTTATTTCATTATTAAATTTGAGCACACTTGCTTAAAATTTTTTTTTTATAAACTAAATAGCGTGTAAGACCAAGCAAACCACAAGAGAGCAAACAACATTAAGAAAAAGATTGTATTGGTTTTAGGAAAATAGTTAAAATGTAAAAGAGAATCAATTCCACATGCATTGATTCGGCTGAACACGTGAAAAAAGTTGGGTAGAAAAGTAACTAAAACATTTAAAATGAATACTTATGATAGTAAAAAGTAAACTTAAAATCGTAGAAAGCAAAAAATGGTTACTGATTGGTTTGCTTTGAATATTTTTTTTTTAAGACTTTTATTTTTAAGCTATTAAGTATGAATTGTGTAGTATATATAGAAAACTTTTCTGTTCGTCACATTTGTTTTTCAAACATTTTTTTATTTTAAATAATCGTTATTATCAATGGGAATAGAAGCAACTTAAGTTTGGCAAAATTATGGGGAAAGGGGGCCTGAAAGCATTATCACCGGAAAAAACTCAACAATTTCAAGTATTAAACGTTAATTTCATACAAAGAAACCAATTACAGCAAAGCACTATTTTTTATAAGAGTGAAGCTGCCCCACTTATATTTTTATCAGTTAGGAAGTATATTTTGGTTAAAAACTTTTTTAGTAAAGTATTTAGACAACCGCCAAAATGAAATTTTTTTAAGAATATGTTTTGTAATGAAAATGAAGAAAAGGCGGAGTCAAAGATAACATGAAATATATAAATAAAAAATCCTTTAAAATGTAAAAACCTGGAAAATATAATATATATCTACCAATCTTGTTAAGTTTTATCTGAACTTCCAACCGTGATTGGCGAGTTCTCTTTTCAAGTCGCTGCTCGAACATACTAGCAATGCTGTTTGATTCCTTCCAGCGCTTCATTGCTTGCTCGCAAATTCGCTGAGACTATTTACATATTTACTCATTAGTTGTCTTATATACAAGTCTTTTTCTTTTTAAAAATGTCATATAAAATGTAAATAACTTTTTCTCGTTCTCCAAGTTTATAATAAACCGCTTCTAAATTGTCATAAGCAAAAAGTTCCCTAAAAATGACGAGTTTACATCAATAATAATAATTAAGTTATAATATAAACATCGAATCATCGCAGAGATCTTTGGCCCACTCCAATAAATCTGTAAAGGATTTGAGCGCATCTTTATAACGACGTTGACGAAACTTTGATAATTTATATTAATTATTAATATTACTATTTATTATTATTATTTACCTGCGCCACAGCGACCATTCTTACTAAATTAACTTTAACACGTTTTGCTCTTGACTTAACAGCATACTGAAGTCCTTCAGTCCCAACTTTAATAATAATAATAATGTTAATAATAATATTAAGTAGAAAGTCTAAACCAGTATAACACATCGAAATACGTAAACATTATACAATTTATTGTAATGACCAATCAAAAACGAATTAATTTTTAAAGAAAAACAGCTCGAATAATGAAAAGTTCATGTGCTACTTTTATAAGAAATGGGAAGAAATTACTAAAATAGCTCTTAATAATGCGCAAACAAGGTCAAAAATTTTAATACAGTCACGTGGTTACTAAATTTTCTTTTCTAAGATATTAAGATGACAACTTCTAAGTTATACAATTATAATAAAAATATATTAAATGAAGTGTAAATAAAAACTATAAAAAATTTTCTTCAAAAAAACTCAATAAAAAGAAAAGTAAACAGCTAAGAACTAATTAACAAGATGAAATTCCTGGGTATTTAAGAAAAAAGGCGATTGTTGTACTTCTATTATAATTTTCAAGGCGCTTAAATAACCTTGTCATAGGAAAAAAACTATCTTTCCAAGGAAACGAGACTAACAAAATAACACTCCAATTATACTAAGCAAAAGTTACCGTATGAATTATATACTCTAGCTCATAAAAATAATGAAAAATAATAACGTTTAGTTTAATTTTCAAAACCTTGAAGAGATAAAAAGTTATGCATGAAAAAAAAACCTTTGATAATATCGTCGTCCTTCCCTTTCAAGTCAAAAACATTCACGAGATTCAAATAAGAGACTGCATACATTTCGTTTTTTTCACTTAAAAATAATAATGAAGTATTAATACATTCACTAAATATTAACAATGAAAGTATTTTCTTTCTTATTGGACATCGAGGGAAAAGAGACTACGAAAGTGCGCAGTTCGTTAACTTAAAACTAAAAAGTAGTAAATATTACAGGACTTGCGAATCGGATAGTAACTGAACTCTTCAAAGTTAAAGTATATATCAAAATAGTACACAGTGCACGTCCGTGGATTAAAAACGCCTTTATTTTAACGATATATAATGTAGTTATACTTTTCAACTTTTCAAATGCTAAGCTTTTATAGTATTATCCATCATTATATAACTATTATTACTGAAAATTATAGTCTATTATTACCCGCTTTCTTTATATTTCTAACTACAGTAAATATTACTCTACTTTTCAATGTTTTTCTTTATAGCTTTGATACTTTTCATATATATGACAACAATACTATATAAGATAATAAACTACAACATAAATGGTAAACAAAATTTTTAAAGGTAGCAACAAGTTTTGTTATCTTTTCTAATGAATATTTTCATGATAGAAAAAAAACCAAGTATACATGTTTCCCAATGAATATAATTTTAATAATACACAATTATAAATTAAAGTTAAGAAGTATATACGAGTTAATGAGCTGATTTTTACAATAAATATTATAACTCGTATAAATTAATTACTTATTAGTAAAAGTTGGTTTTTTTAAATAAAACATATGAAAAATGGAAATAAAAAAAAGTTTGAAATAGATATATAGTATATATAGATCAAATATTATATACTAATAAAAATAAAGCCAAATTGAAGATATAACGAATACTTTAGTTCCGTAATGCAAAAATAAATGTTGTAGTTTAATTAGTAGTTAAAGTTTAAATTAAAGTTATTTTGTAAGGAAAAATAAGAAAGTGCAAAATTTAACAATAATGTAGTTAACAAAAAAAAGAAGCATAAAAATAAGTAAAAAAAATATTATCGCAGATGTATAAAGTATTATAAATATAATATATAATAAATAGAAAATTAATATTAAGTACAAAACTTTCCGTATATTTTTATAAAAAAGAAATAAAACTATAATATATTTCTAATAAAACGTCACTATTTAAATTTAAAAAAATACATATTTCATTCATTCAGTTTATAAAAGATGCAAGATAAATTAAAATATAATCCATTTTTATTAAAAAATAGTAGGAAAAATTACGCAAAACCATTCAAATTATACATTACCACCAATATTTTTATTGGCTGCTATATTTCTTTAAAATGGCCAGTTAATATATTACAATATCCAAATTAGAATATAAACTGCGATAAAACAGTAATAAGGCTGAAAATTATATCATTTATCCGTTTATTTTACTTATAAAAAACGAAATTTTTAAAAAAGTTGCAAAATAAAAAAAAAAAAGTTAACAGATTTTTTAAAAAAAAAGGGTGAGGAATAGGTACAGTGCCGAGTGTTAAAAAAAGAAACAGTTTAGTAAGGTATACGCTGCATATTTAGTAAAAATAACATGAACAAACGGATATGTTGATACTGCAAAGTTTTTATATAAATTATACCGTAGCAGATTGTATTTATATGACAAAAACAAAAATAATATTCTGCATGCAACCAACATATTAAACACCAATCACTGTTCGGCGTGGATTAAAGCTTAAAATAATAAACATCCAACAACATTTGCTTAGTTGCTGCAAAATAAAAATAAATAGCCAATTAATGACAAAAAGCCACAAAAAAAAAAGAATTTGCAATTTACTAAAAACTATTGAATTTTTATATAAAGCTGCAAATATAATTAAAATTATCAAAATATAGTCGATAGGTACAAATAAATGAGGATATTTTAACCATCAATAATACTTTTGCATTTAAATGTTGCCAACCAAATAACCTCAAAAAAACAAGAAGCAGCGCCAACCAACGAATTATTTTACATGTGCATAATTTTAAACTTTTAATACATTGCAAAAATAAATTTATAGTACCAAATTGTTTTTCAAACCTACCAACGGTTAAAAGAAATGAAGGCTGCAAACAAGCCCAAAATTTAATAACTGTAAAGCCCAATAAATTTTGTGACCAACGGACTAAAAAAAGTAACTAATTATATAATTTCAGCGTTATAAGTTAAAAATTTAAAATATTATCGAAGGTAATTTAAAAAATAAAAATAGCCTATTTATCAGATAAATATTGTAAATTAATATATGTAATGCAAATAATAAAGTATTTTGCAAAGATTTATAAAAAAGGTATTATACAGTTGTAAAGCTCCCACTTCACTAATTATTCGCAAACTTTGCTCATAATAATTTTGAGCTTTCGAAAGGTCGTCAAGACAATCTTGAGGTTCCTCTTTTAATTTCTACAATGAAAATTGAAGTTGATAAAAAAAATTTGATCTCAGTTAATTAAAACGTCTTTTTATTATGGTGGAAAAAAGCTTTAGGTAACGTTCTTTTCCCCAAATATTTAGTAAGGAAAAAAAAATTTATCAAAATTATTTAAAGAAAGTATAAAACCTGAATAGCATACTGAGAACGTTCAAAGTAAACGTTTCCACATGTAACTAAAGCCCTTTGGTATTCTAAACTAAAAGGGCACTAACGATTAGAATAATTGCTCGTATAAACCAAAAATATGTACGGATTGTCCTCTGAAATTTTCAAATATTCTTGCGAATGGTAAACAGAATCATCATACTGCTTAAGAAAGAGAGTACAAGTTGACAACCAACGATGGGCGAGGCCCAAAGAATCTTCGAAACAGTTTTTAATAAATATAATATACAATAAAAAATCAGCCTATATGCCTTTATCATTTGTATTTTCATAGCAGAATTTTAAATAATTATTAAAATGCAACTTTGCCTGTGTATAAAGAAGAAGTTAATGAAACTATAAAGTTAAGTTTCTAACATTACAAAATTTGACAAGAAAAAAATAGAAGAAAACTGGTAAATAAAAGACTTAAACCTTTCTATAACGTTTTTTACCAAAAAATTTCTGTGCGAGCTCCCATTCTCTTTCAGCAGCCGCGTAAAAACGACTTTTTACCATTTTAGTATGCGAAGAAGGAAAACTTGATTTAAAAAAGTATACAGCTTGCTGTTTATTTAATAATATACTCAAAGTTAAAAAAACTTTCAAGTTATAAGCAACGACCTGTAGTTAATAATTTTCTTTTATTATTATTCCCGATACCAGAAAGGCAAATATTTATTATTAAACATGCTATAAGCCTTTTTGGTTTAACTGTAATAGAGAACAGAAGGCTGTGCCCACATAAGAAACACCGATCGAACCCTTCCAGAACCTCCTGATAACCCCGCAGGAAATTCTAAGCGGTGTGTTTTAGTTTGCTACTACTTTTTAGTATCTCTATAAGTTACGGATTTATTACAAGAACCGTAAACAGTTATTATTAGTTTTAAGTTGAGACTTAATCTGTAGGTAACTTATTTCCGAGGGCTATACTCTCACTCATTTGACTTGAATGTCTTTTTATAAGTGAATTTGTTGAAAAAAAGGGTTCAAAATTATGTAGGTATTATGTATTAAACACTGTTACCCTTATATGTTATTAAGGAACGTAAAATCAATAAAATCTTCTGTCCCTTCGCTCATATATAATACTTTCTTATAGTTTATATTAAAATTTTTAAAAGATAATTTAATAGTATGACAAGTTCTGCACATTTTAGTAGCCCTACGATATTTTGATAGTTGATACGTTGTTTTTCTTTCATATTATTTTTAAAGAAGTTTATCCTATAAAAGATGTAACTTAAGCGATGGATGCTCTAGAGTGACACCTAAATAACGAATAACTATAAATATTCCTGCTTTATTATAAACATTTTTACAAAGTTTTATCATCTCTTTACTTTCACTTTGCCTGTGTATCCTTTTCAAAGCCATCAATAAGATATTGCATGGGAGAAAGTTCCTTCTTATCTATTAAATTAAACTCCTAACAAAAAATAGATGTAAAATAGCAATAAGTTAAAAGAATAAGTCAACTAATATTTTTTTAATAAAACCAGCTTATTAACCTTCTTATAGCTCTCGCTACAGATTTTTTTTAATTAATATTTTTAGATACAATATAAATCTGTGTAAACACTAAGTTCTCTATGAAAAAACCTTTTTTGAAAAGAGAACACGTTAACAGTACTTTACCATAAATTAAAAAAAGAACCAGTAATTTATATATATCTTTTTTAGTTGAGTATATATATATTATTCACTAAAATATTTATATCATTATTTTATATTTTAGATTTTCTTAAATATTTTTTTCTGTAAACATTGTAAAAAATTAAAAATCTAAATATATTGCGTTGAGTTGCAGCAAAACGGCTGTGAGCCGCCCGCTATAACTCGAAGAGCCGATTAAAAGACTGGAAGCTTATCATTTTTAAAAATAATATTCAAAATTTTTTAGACACTGAATAATATTTGTCTTTTATATTTTTGTCAATAAGAAGTATAAAAGAATAATTTTTCGGTCACTTTACTTTCTAAAAGTGAACTACGAACGCCCGCAAGCTTCACAACTCCAGTAAAGGATAACGGCAAGAGTATCAAGAAAATAATAATAACCAACACTATTGTTACCGTAAGAATAATTATTATACTTGTTGGTATAATATATAACCTTAATAAACTTTAATATTAATAAATTTAAAGTAATTTATAGTTGTACAAAAGTATCATATTTATTTATATATATTGTTAATAATATATAAATAAAACAATGTGTCATGTTTGTACTACTTTTATAACTAGTTTCCCAGTTTCATTCTTCTTAAAAAAAATAAATTTTCTTGAAATCTTTATTATCTAAGAAGTGTATTTATAACGAGTTTTTTATTATATAAAAAATGGTATATTATAATTTTTTTATTATTTATACTTATATATTAACATTTAATAAAATAATTAAAAGAGGTCAACTTTTTTTTCATCTATGGAACTGCGCCGTAAATTTCCATTTCTTGTTTAAGACTTAAATTACGAAATTTTTTCGACTATACTTTTATAGAAAAACTCCAAATGTATCACAGTTCTTTGTAAGGATTTTTTTTCTTCCTCGGTGTTAATTACATTAATACGAAAATACTGGGGTTTCCCTTAACTTTATACTTTACATACATACTGTTTATAACATTTCTAACATTTTACTCTTCGAATATTTTGACTTATACGAATTTTTTTCACAGTTTGAAAGCTATTTTACTGGCTATTAAGTATATATGGTACTAACATTATTCAGTCTCACAAACTTTTATATATATTTTTAAGTAATAGTACAAGCCTTCAAGTTTTTCGTAGTTCATATACTATTTATAAGATAACTTAAAACAGTGCTCATACTTTATAAAAACCTTTTATATAAAAATATTTAATTTGATAAGCGAAGCAGATAGACTCTTTTAGTAATACTAATTAAACTTTCTTTTTATAGTTTGCCTTTTTTTAAGAAATTATTTAATCAAATAATTTAATTGTTTTTTTTAAAAAATATATATATTTAAAAAAATCGAGTATCTTTATATGTAAACTGTTTAAAGCAACAATCAATATAATATAATGCGACGTTTGGAAAGTACATAATAAATTTCTCCTTAAGTCACGAAATTAAATAAATATATAAAAGTTATTATATAATTTGAAAAAAGACTATTTATAAAATCTAAAATTTTGATTTTTTTTATTCAAAAATATTTAAATATTAAGTATCATAATAAAGAAAAAATGTTAACTAGGAAAATATTAAAATTCCTTTTATAAATTATTATAGAGTGCTTTAAAATAATTATAAAAACATACTTTTTGCCTTTGAAAATAACCTAAAACATATGTATGCTTAATTCATTTCTTTATATTGATATATAAAATTTAAAATAAAAGTATATAATAAAAAGAAATGGCCTTAATTATAAAATAAATATCTTATGTTGTACAAAATAGCTTAAAAAATTACAGAATTGTAAAGCTTTCTATTTTTGAAAAACTGTCAATGTATAATTATAAGAATATAATTGGTTGCTATACGTAAACATAAATATGCATATAGTACCTGAACGAAATAAGTAAAATGTTTAAAGGAAGTATTCAAGTGAGCCTGTTCGCCAAGAGACAAGATCCTCTCAAAGTGGGAATAATAAATATGCGCATAAACTCGAAATAATCTTCTTATGATCATTTTGGCTGTTTGCATAAAGTTTTTGGGAAACGGAACTCCTTATAAAAAAAGTACTGTCATTTTAAGGATTTTAAAAATTAAAAACTTTTATTAAAAAATTTAATAACTGGAATATAAAAACAATTTTAGCCATGGAATGGTTAAAGGAAAAAAATACTTAGTATAACTTAGCAAATATAACAATACTTTATCGAAAGGAAATTTCTAAGCATACAAAAAATTATGAATTAAATGTTTATATTAATTATTATATAATAAAATATCAAGTTAATGAGGCAAACCACTTTATTGAAAAAAATCCATTATTTATATTTTTTAATTATAAAAATTATTTATATAAAGAAAATTGTTTAAAAAATAACAGTTTTTTTGTTGACCTAAATTATAAAAAAAACATTAAAAATTTAATAGCTATTGTACTTTTAAAAAAATATTAAAGGAAAAAAAAATAACAGAAAAATGAAAAAAATAGAGCAAAACTGTCATAATAAGTTATAAATATAACACTTTTATTAAAAAATTTAGATATATATTTATAATACATAAAATTTGTAGTAACTAATATATATTAATAAAGCATAGTAAGTTTACTGTTAAAGTTTTTGCTCCAAAACAAAACAGGTTTAAACCTTTTTATAATCTAAAAGATATATAAACGTGTAAAAAAAAAAAGTAAAGAGGATATGTTAAAGGTTGAGATTTTTTTAAATTTAAAAAAGTAGTCTCTTTATAATATGAAATAAAGTAAAACTTAACTTTTAGAAAAAAAATTTATAACATTTCGTAAATATAAATATTTTTAGGAAATTAATATGACAAAAAAAATAATAATAAACATTAATAAAGGGAATTTGGATATATCCGAAAATTAAGGGCAACTATATAAATTTAAAAAATATACACAAGCGTGAAAGTTTCAGAAAACAAAACTCAAAGTTATTCAAAAAAGTAGTGACCCATTGTAAGTAGTAAAAAGTAAAAAAGAGTTTTGTTAGTTTGTAATCATTTAAAAAAAACTTTTGTTCTGTACTTTTTCTTAATATTAGACAAAGTTAGTTTAAAAATAATTATAAACTTTATTTGTTTCTGAAATTATATAGTATAATTGCAGAATACTTTTATTATTCATTAACTTTAAATAATAAATAAAAAACTTACAATTTTATATTATAAAAAGCATTAACTATAATAAACGAAGTTACTAAATTACAAATATTCTCAGACTTGTATAAATTAATAGTCTGTTACACGCAGAGTCGAACATTTTATTATAAACTTGTCCAGCAAAGCCAAAAAATATTATTTAAAATAAGTAGAAAAGGTTATATGGCAGTGAAATTTTAATAAAGATAACTTCTCTATGAATCCCTTTAAAACATTATTTATTGGCAGTGCTTAACATAGCAATAATAGCATTATAAGTATAGTTCTTTAAAACTTAACTTATATGTACTATTGCATACTGCATATCTACGGAATTAACCGAGCTAGGTGGCGCTTACTAACGGGTTCAGTTTTGCATAAAGGAGCCAATAAAAGCAAATAAAGTACCTATTTTGGAAGGGAAAACGGCCTCGTTATCGAGTTGATCTTGAATCCACGACATCAGAAGATCAATATATTGGGGTGCGGGCATTCGCGTGGGCTTCTTGAACTTCCCTCCGTCCGCCCTTCCGAGTTTGGTACAAACATTTTTTACAATGGAAATGTTATGATTGTCATATAATGTTAAACTCATCATAATTATATTATCATTAAATAGTAAAAACATATTTTCGTATGCTAGCAACCAACAGAAGTAAAATATTTATAAATTTATTATATGAAAAAACATTCAATGTATGAAGATCTGCACTTTTATGTACACCTGGTATAAGCCGAGCACCAAAGTTATGTTACAAAACTTTGCAAAAATTACAATGAAAGTTTTGGGGCAACAAAAGTGTGACAAATTAAAATTTATTAAAAAATATTAGTTACAAGCGCTTCACCCAATAAAACTTTTAATTTTAAAACCAGCCCTCAATTTATCATGCAGAAGGATTTAAGGGTATAATATTGGCTTTAAAGGGGATGAGTCGTTGTACATGCGGTAGAAGAGCACGTGATTGTTAACCTTACCTTAACACACTTTTTATCTGAGCTAAAAGGATATGACTCAATAACATAGAAGGACAAGAGCTCGAGCATTTCTATAAAACCATGAAGGTCAATAGATTTAAGTTATTGAATTTATCATATACTTAAGTTTTTTGGTAACGACTAATATATAAAGTGAAAGGGGGGGGGAATATAGAAGCAATATAAAGCTTACACGGTGTCTACTGTTTATTACTATGCTTGTGTTAATTAACTTTACTACTTCTATAGTGTTTATCATACTTGATAAAAAACTGTCAATCACCAATAGCAAGGTTAAATTATAGATCATTAAATGCTTAATACAATAAACGGTGATTCGGTATTTAAAAACCAATTATTTTGTATTGGTAAATAAATTTTAACAATTGACACATATATTTACTTGTACATATAATCGAAGTTTATCAAGAGGTTATTGATGTTATTATTAGACGAAAGATTTACCAGTGATATTCATATTTCGGCCCTGCGCTCATGGTGGGGCACTCGTCTTCCGTGCAAAACTCCGTCACCGTTCCGTAAAGCATATTGATTTGATTGAAAAAATCCACCGCTGGAGTTGTAAGAAACAAGTTTTTAAAAGATATATAAATATTGTTAAATTCTAGTACAAAAGTTTATTTTTAATAACTCCTTAAAAACAACGTTTTAGATTCTGGAAGATACAAAAAGTAGCGCGTGCATTAATGGTGCAAAAAAATGCTATTTTATTTTGGCAATAACATATATTTATAAGCATGGTGATACAAAATTTATATGAATTAAGGCATATAACCAATAAGAGAGCTTGATTATTAAATATTTTAATCAGTTGTTTAATGAGATTAGTTTTAAAAAAAGAAAAAGTAAACAATTTTCGATGCAACCACATATAATCCTACGAGATGTAAGCTTTCGATTATTCGCTTTAACCAATTATCTTGCTACTATTATGTTAATATAGCAAACGTTTTCTTTAATGAAATATTTTAAGGAGCTTAGCCACTAGTAGGCGGTAGAAGAAAGTTATTTCCAACACAAGCAGAAGAAGTTGAGATATAAACTTCGAAGTGAGAATCAACAAATCCTCCGCTCGACTAGAAGAAAGGCTAAAGGAAGCAAGCAAGCCTCAAGGTCTTATTAATTGTTTTCATGAGCAACAGAGAAACGAGCGTTGTTCCTGCCGGAAAAGTGTCAGCCTGTCAAAGCAATTTCCTTTTGGAGTTCAATTTGAGTTAACGTAATAATTACTTAGACACTGCTTTTCAAATTTAATAAGTAAAGAGGAAAAATGGGCTCTACAGGCTTTGTTTTAATAAAGCTATGGTCGATTATATAAACTTATATAATTAAAAAAAATTTTTAGTTTACAATAAATTAATTAATAATTCTTAGAAATTTAACTAACCATCATTATAGTGCTAAACAGCATATAAAAATTAAATTAAAATATTTTATTAAGCTTAAACTTATTAGTGCCGGCAAAGTGAAATATTTAAAAAAAAGAATTTATAAGTGGCGGGTATAATAAATAATTTTAAAAAAATAAAAATAAATTTCATAAGCTGTTCTAAAAATAATAAAGCTGACTGACAATATTATACACTATCAAATAATTACTATTTACTGCTATCCACTCGTTAAGATCTTCACCTTCCGGGAGTGCTACAGCGGCTCGGAGGTTGCCAGAGCCTAAAGTGGCATCCGCATATTTCTTTAGCTGAAAAAAAAGATGTTAATTTTAATTTTCTATAAGAATAGATAACACTGAAAACTTATTTTCTTATAAAACTTCGTTAAGCCCTTTTTTTCAAATTATGTGTTATGGTGGACATAACGCTACTTATGGCGAACCTATCTTTCATATATTATTCTAGAGAAAAAGTTGAATTTATTCCAAAAAAAATAAATTAACAATTTTTTTAATTAGGTGCACATATAGACAAAAGTTAAAAGTTCAAAAGTTAATGTTATAAATATTATTTAGCGTTCTACCGTTCTTAAAAAGTAAGTATTTTTATATTATATTATTAAGAATATCAAAGGATAAATTAGCTAATTCGGAATTAGAACAATTTTACTTAAATATTAATTTAACTATTAGCTTATTAACTTAGCAAACTATAACTAGTTTATTAAAAAGTTTACTTTATAAATTTTCAGAGCTAAAATTGAAATAGGTTTTACTAACCTGGTGTCTTTTGGGATTATCTTGGATGTGCTTTTTTGCTTGAACTGTCCGCAAATGTTTTTTATGCCTGAAGATTTTATGAAAAATAAAGTAGATATGAGTTAATAAACCATAAATAACTCCTTTTTTTTTAATTGTTTAAGAACGAAGAAAGTAAGTTTTTTTTAAAGCAATTATGACAACCTTAAATAAGTGTTCAGGGCTATTTAAATATATTAACTATATAAAGATGCTTAACGGAAAAAATTTGGTTTATATACTACGTGAATGGAAATGAACATAAGTAGGGAGCAAATTTTAATGGTAGATTATACAATAATTAAGTTTAACGTAATAAAATTTAAGATATAAAACATAATACAAAAATCTATCCATTTTTGAAGGTTAAGCAAGCTTCACAATGATATGGCTCCTCCCACAACCTTTTTGTAATAGGAGACAAGAGCAAACCACAAAGAAATTTAATGGAATTACAAGCAAGCGAAACGTCGAAAAACTGTCTAAAAAAGGCACCAATATATTTTAAGAGCTAAAAAGAATTTCGAGAGTGAGCAAATCAACGAAGCTTAAAAATGGATTCTTCAGAATCACTAGAAATTTGGGTGGACTGTGCAGAAGCACAAATGAAGATTAATTATATCTTAAACCCAATAACATGCCTTGCGTGTAAGAGGACATTGATCGATTATAAATATGATAAAATAATAACTTATTGGTACTTTGAAAGGGAATATAAGCTTCGTTGTATCGAGGGAAATAAGATACCAAACCCCAACCAAAAATGGGTAAATAGAAGCTGAAGCTATTTAGCTGCCCTAGCGTAGTTATAACCGTTAACTTACATAGCAAACAACAAACTGTCTGTATAACTTGTAACAAAGGTCATTTTTTGTGCCGCCACATACGGAGAATATGTTGTTTTAGTACATTGAACACTATCTTTAATACTAAGCGAAGTATATAAAAATTATTTAATACAGAAGCTACACTATCTTTCAAAACTGTTTCTGTTTTAAATTTTTTCGTAAATTTTTAAAACGCTTTGATTAATAACTGGTTATATTGACCCCTTATTTATATTATAAATTTAGATTAAGATCTATTTAATGTAGTTTGTATTAGAGGAATTGCTTTCTTACCCAAGTCTTTATCGTTTTTTTCATAATTTAAGTATCGATCAAAATGATTTTGCACTGACCCCCCTTCGTCCGAAATTGTTTCATCTTCATACCAAATTTTTCATGATCACTCCATCATAGGGGGTTTTTTTAGTGTTTAAGTGGCTATAAAGGATAGCTTATTAAGAGACCTTAATTTTATAAGGTGTAAACCATCAATCAATAAAGAAAATGATGTAAAATATCTTTTAGATCTAGGAAAGCCTTATACTGAGATCGCTCGTGGATGTGGTGTTAGTAAGACCACAATATCCCGGGATCAAAGCTCAAAGTGATCCCAAATCGTCCTTGCAATGAACTTCGACGTCCAAAGATTTGAAAATTCGAGATGTAGCTCGACTTGTACGGCAAGCGACATCGGGTGCAATTGAATCTGCACAGAGCTTCAAAAGTCATAGAAACAACATTAGAGAGATCAATTTCAAGATCGGTCGTATTGAGAGCGTTGCATTCTGCTGGCCGCTATGCGAAAAAAAAAGTTAGTTAAATCCACTCTGATAGACCGTCACAAGCGACTTAAAATTGCGTTTGCGAAGAACGAAATATGGTCCATTTCTGACTGGGAAAAAGTAATTTATTTGGGCGAGACCAAGATCAACCAATATGGTTTAGATGGTATTAGGCGGCGTTGAAAGCTATCCGGCGATATCGAATACTTAATAAACAGGTGGTGCAAACGTATAAACATGGGGGAGGATCGATTATTATTTGGCCTTTTATAATATTTAAGGGAGTCGGATATTTGGCAAAAGTAACAGGGAGCATCACCGCAAGCACGTATTTAGACATTACTAAGAATGACCAACCAGAACATGCGATTAGTATGGAGTTGACCTTGAGGAGATATTTTTTAGCAGGATAATGCCCATGTCACACTACACTATCAGTGCGTTCATGGCACCAATTACAGTCGTTCCAAGTGCTAGACTGGCCTCCGCAATCTCCCGGTCTCAATACCATTGCACATGCCGGGGAAGCTTTGAAGATAAAGTTGCGATCATACGAACCAGCTCTTGCTAACTTGGACAAGCTTTGGACACGTGTAAAATCAAAATGGAAAAAATTAACACTGGGTCAATCCTACCTTATAGCAAGTATGCTAAAGGGGATACAAGCAGTGATTCTAGCTAAAGGGATCTATACTAATTATTAAAACCTCGTTTATTAAATTAAATTTTTCTGTTTCTATATTCTTTCAAATTTACAAGCTCATGTCTTTTCGAATATTAAACCAACCTAAGATCAATTATTAACAAAAAGTAACTAGAGTAGAGAAGTTTACTGTGTATAAATTTTAAAGTAATTTATTACGTTACTTGAAAAGTTATGCTATATTAAATGAAAAAATGCAAAACACAATGAAACAGTTTTGCATGGGGGTGGTATATATTATTACTTATTAATTTCACCAGCCTCGCGACGCTACCAATAACAGGTTAATATGTAAAACCATCACCCCGGGATCGTATAAGAATTTATGAGGGTGAGGTTAGACACACGGCCATCAAAGACCGAAAAAGAGAGTCGCGTCGGTGGGAATGAACCAACGACCTTGATTATGCGTCAATGCTCTTAATAGTTGAAGGACCTCGATCTTGGGATGATGGTTTTACGGAAATAAACTGTTACCCAACGCAAGAAGCAATCCCCTCCCAATCACTAGTTAGATACATTATTTCACCCCCTTAGCCCTTAATAAGTTATATGCACTTATAAACTTTAAGTGTTTTTCAATGTTAGAATAAGAAGCTTCTGTTATACAAATCGGTGGTTGGGATCAAGCAAAAATCATTAACTACAAATACCACAAAATCGCCATCTGAGAGTGGTGGTCGTCGTCCTTGGGTTTGTAAGCAACAGTCAACTACATAGAGATTGAGATCCTGGACCTATTCAACATATCTTATCTTGATAAAATTTCACTGAACTGACTTACTAGAGCCAGTAGTTATTACAACACTAATTAAACAGGTTCTTGATTATAACTCTCGGTGGTGCCCCAAGTACTCGTGGTCAAAACATTTCTTAGGTCTGAAGGGGAAAAGGCTAAGATTACAGTTTATTTATTAACTTATTGTTATCACTTTGCTTGCGCCTTTATTGATACATAATTTTTAGCTGTGATGATATAGCACATCCTTCTTCTCATTGAAGGCGCAATAAAACGTTAGGGGAGTTGTAACTCAGAACCCCCAATTATAGAGTAAGAAGATAAAGCAGCAATTGCTTAAATAAATAACGCTAATAATAGCCAGTGCTATATATAAAGGAATAAATGATTCAATGCTATTCGTGCAGCAGCCTTTACATGCTTGATGCGAGTGGTTTTGCCCTGAGTAGATAATGTTTAAGAACTTGGCTGCGAAATAATAGTATCCGCACAATTCTAAGTGTCTCTATCTTTTTATAAACGGCCGAGAAGTCCTGTTAGCCCTGGTGACAAAAAGTTTTTTCCCTACCTTCTTAATAGAGTTTTAGGATAAAAAGTTCTAAAAAAAAACGCTAAGTCAAATGGTTATAACGCCCTTATAAACTTTTTTACTACGAAGAAAAGACGAAAAAATGCATATTAAATAATTTATTATAACTTTAGACAAGAGATAAACTTCGTCAAAAAATATATTGTAGTAAAGTAACAATCATGTGATAAGAATTTAATAATCAATTTTTTTCTATAATATTAGAAAGTAAATTCGATAACTGCCGCAAGTAACTTATATTTTAATAGTTGAATTTCCTTATAAAGGTTGGCCTCATGTTGCATATTTGTATGGGAGGCGCCTGCAGTTGTGGTGATACTGAGTTTCGAATTACTACTTCTATATAAAGCAAATAGTTCTCTTAGATGATAATCCTGAAGGCCATACTTTGTTTTAATTCCTTCTGCTACAACACTTGTTCTCTGTATATTTTCACAAAACTGCAAAACACTCAAATCAGTGTTATCAGGAATAGTCGAAAGGTTGGCTTCTTCCAACCACCACGAATAAAACAATAGTATCGACCAACGAAGAGCGTTTAAAAGCGTAAAGGCTTCTAAAGACCCAATAGAATCGACAACACTACGACAAGTGCACACGTGCTCTTCAATTTTGAGTTGCACTCGACACTGCTCGTCTTTTTGAGGAAAATGAACTTCAATGCACACAACGTAATTGCCTAACACATTTACGTAAAACGTTACGCTTCTACTACTAACTTTTATAACGGGATCCTCACAGTTATCAAAACGGCGGAGTTTGTCTATTAGTGCTGTAATGAAATTAGTATACGTCAATTTTAAAGGATTTTTAATCCGTGCAAGATTGAAAAAAACTCTAAAAAAAAATTAGATATAATTAATAAAATTTGAAATACAAACATAAGACCTCTTTGCAGTAAAATTGGGACCTAAACTGAAACCCACCGCCGAATTAGCGTCGTAATTTGCTATGACCAAAAGTTTATAAAGTTCAGTATTTGTTGTACGTATAATGTTCAGTAAAAAGCTTGGGGGGTAGAAGAGGCCATTTTGATTGGTTAAAAGATTACCTCTTTCTATTTGTAAACTATATAAGGGAGTAACTCGGTCTTTTCCGCACAACTGACAAGCATGACTCGCTACTTCTCTATTATTATAGTGTCCAGAAACTTGTAGACCACAAAAGTCTAAGAAGTGAACTAGTTGAGAATTCCAATAGAATCCACAGTTGCAAGAGACGAAATCCGCAGGTGAAAAAGTATTTAAGAGAAGACTGGAATTGGAAAAAGAATACAAATGCACCAAGTAAACGTCCGCTAGATACTTTAATAAATTAAATAAATTGATATTATCTTGTAGTAAAATCAAAGTTAATATTAAGGAGTTTTATTTTCTTACTTATATATACAGTAAGCGATAATCTTTAAGTATTGTAACGAGAATCAAGTAACTATGATAATTTAAGCAAATGAGGAAGAAAGTGCTTAAAAGAACAATAAAATTAATTTATAAACCAGCAAGTAATAATAAACTATGAATTATTATTAAAAAGTGGTAAATTTATTATTTTACAAATGAAAACCATAAAAACAGTTTAAAAATAAGCACAAAGATAATAAAAAAATGTGATGTAAAGTAAAGAAAAATTCAAAGTTAAAAGCGCTGGTAAAATACTTACGGGTAACTTATAGAAAATATCCTCAGCCAATGAAAAATCAAAAGAAGCTATTCCATCTTGTAAAATTTTCAAAGGAAAAGTGTAGCAGTGAAGTAATTCGTCCCTATATAGTAGTACTTTACTATCAACTGTTTACATACTTTTGGTTCCACAGTAAATAGATAACTACAGAGACCTAAATTTTAAGTGCAAACTACTAGCTACTTATTTTTTAAAAGTGCTAAAAATAAATTACTATTTATATTAATACTTATCGGTAGAAGAAGTCAAAATTTGCTTGCTGAAGTGAGGTTTTCTTAAAATAATGGCTATATATATGTATAGTAATTTAAAAAAATAGTTTCTTTTAATTATAATTTGTTGTTAATATAACACTAACCAGAAGCACATAATAAAAATTATTATACATAACAGGTGCTGGAAAAGCAATAAACGTTCAAAACAGAAAGAACTGTCTAAAGTATATATTTATAAAATAAGGGTAAAACATATTTTTTATAAAGCTACCAGTTTCTTATCCCAAATTATAATATAAAAAAAAGCTATACATAAGATTAAGCCGCAAAATAAAGACTTTTAAAAGTGCCAGTCTTATCTATAAGCCAAATAAAAATATTATAACTAAAAATATAGAAGTTGCAGAGGATCATGAGCTGTTTTTATGAATTACGATTGTAAAGATTAAGAAAAGAATTAAAGGATTCCTACCAATAGACCAATACTTCATCTCTACGGTTGTGTTAAGATGGTCAACAAAAATTTTCACGCATAACTTGAGTTCTGACGGCCTCAATCCGTTTTCAACTTTTTGACAGAAAACATCAACTTGAAAATTTGAACTATACGGTAAAACAGTTATTACGCTCTTTGAGCTTCCTTCTTCATAAGCTTCTTTTAATCTTTTGGTTTTTGAGAGTGTACAACTGCTGTTAAGAGCGTGTGCGCCGTTGTATAATAAGCTACTCTCACAATTAAAAGGAACAGCTTGTTTCCTAAATGTTTTCATGACATAATTCGCCTGAAAAATAGCTTTATTACAATCCTCTATAATCTCGTTTAGATTATGTATAACAGTTTCGTTTAGCTTCTGATTGCTCTCCTGAACTTTCAATACATCTAGTAAACTCTGCAACTCATTTTCCAAATCTGTAAGGCTACTACCTACAGAAAAACATGAAGGGGTAAAAAACCCGGTAAGGATAAATAATTGTTATTACTAGGAGATAACAAATGCTCTAAACGTTCTAAATTCCGATGGATCTCGGCTGGGAAAAAGGTGTCTTTTTTAAGGTTTAGTACTGACAAAAGTCCTTCGTGAGTTAAGATCAGCAGAGAGCAACAAAAGTCACTGCTGTTTTCATTAACAAAAGGACGGCTGGACAAACAACAGACGTTTTCGTAAAGAATTTGCTTAATAGTAGTAAGTTTTTTTTTTTCGAAATGAGGAGAGTCGTCTTCTGAGCGATATTTGTCTAAGGAAGTTATAAAAAGTCCTTTATCTGTGCAATAGATTAAATTTGTCGCTGTTTGGGTACTGAAGCAAAGAGCTGGGAGCAAAGTAGCGGCTCTCACGGGCCCTGTAATATCAAAATATTTTGCTTTATAAGTGAGGAAGGTCGAACTACTATTTGTATGGAATTTTGAATGGGGAAGAAAATATTTCTCCCTGACCTTATATTCTACATCTAAAAAGCATAACTTTCCGTAACAGCCAATAACTAGGAATGTCCTACTGACAGAGAAAATCTGACAAGTGTTTTCAATGCTTTCATCACTTTTATTACTAAAGTTAAAACTATTATTGTGTTCAAGCTCGAGTATAAAACAAATGGGTTGACCTAATGAACATAATACAAAAAACTTATATTCTAATATCTTATTTCTGTTCACAGGAATAGAAATTAAATCGCCATTAGGGCATCCAATTAGGAAGATTTCGCTAACTTTAAAGGTTAGGTAAGAAATTTCCGATTTTGATAGCAAAATATTTCTGAGAGCGTTCTTGTTTATCTTGTTAAAATCACAGGTGGAGCTTAACAATATAGAAGGATAGAGGTTGCAAAAACGCTCTAAAAAAACTTCAGTTTCTGATTGAAAATTTCTAGAAAAAATTAACTTTTCCTTCACCTCAGTGTTTTCAATTTTCTCTGAATAATTTTTGTCACTTAAAAAATTTACATTAGCTTTAACCCTGTAAACTTTTAATATAAAAGCTTCCAAGCAGACAATAAATAAAACAAGATTATCAAAACAGCCATCATCAAGCTCGATAATGTTCAGGACAAACGAAGAGAAAGAATGTTCACTTACATGAAACCAGCAATCGGTAAAATTGTGTAACGGATTATCGTTCACTCGAACACTACTGCTTGAAGTGCAGAGTCCGTCGTCAAATAAGTCAAGAGAGACAACGTCTCTGGACGTAAACAAGCTAATAACCCTTGTTGGAACAATATTGGATGAAGAATAAAGTTTATATAGTTCATTTTCGCTTGATAGTATATAAAAACATTCCTTTTCCTTTTTTGAAGAAACAGCAAAGACGGGCGCAAAAGGCAATCTAACGACTCTCTAAATACAGTAAGATTCGAGAGTAAAAACTGCTTATAAAGAACAATAGTAACGGACACAAAAACTTTGAAAAAATTACATTCCTAATTTATTAAAGTATCCAAGATATAAAAACCTTTGTTAAGAATTGGTTGTCAACTATGTGAAGAAGAGTTGAATGAGTATATGTAATAGAATAAAGACCTTCCAGAGAAGTTACTATAAAGGGCTGAAAGGAAAAAAGGTGGGGCTGAGCTAATCTATTATGCGTACATTCACCAATTTTAATTTATTAACGTAAAAGATAAATCAAGAAAATACCTACTAAGAAGAGTATTTATAAACTCCATATTATATAATTTAGAGAACTTCACCTAAAAAATTAGCGTAAAATAAAAATAAGTTAAGCAAACGAGTGTCGCATTTTTTACTATTTATGCTTCAAGTGGACCTCCTACTCCGAAAGCAATAGGAACAATAGACGAGGACGCAGCTTTACGCTGTGGCCACTTTACCTGAGCTGTTTCGATTGGGTAAAGAAATCTTTCATGCTCGGCGTTTCAAAGGATTTTTTAGCGAAAAAAAAGATACAAACAGTAAGACTTACCACAGTAGTCTTCCCTATTATTTTTAAAACCAATAAATAGGATTCGTTTATGTCTAAAAATGAAACTTTTATCGACACACAGGAAAAAGATCTTAATCTTGATAATTATTTTCGCGAACTAGGTTCTAGTATATATTTATGTAAAAACTTTTATTCTATGAATGAAAAAATTGTTAATAATCCCAATTTTTATTTATAATTTTATTTTCAAGTAGGGACCGATTTTTTTAAAGATATAGAGAAAATTGAACAACTATTAGAAGATTTAGAACTTAAAGAGACCCAGGTTCATATTTTTTACTATTAAAGTTAACTGGGCGTTAAAAAAAAACTTACCTTCTCCCTTTAACTTAAAGTTTATCTTGATCTTATACGATTTTGTTTTCAAACTTTGTTTTGAAAAATTGTTTAAATTTTAATGTCTGCCAACCCAAAAAACCTTAATTGTAAATTTCCATTTGCCTAGTCTTATCTTATTCTATTTAAACCTTTTATCTATTTATAGCTGTTGGTTAATAAACTTGTTGCTAGTTTTATTAACTAAAGTTTACAAGCCTTTTTAGCTTGTTAGAAAAAAGAGATTGTTAAGTTATTGTCAATCTATTTCAAAATTATAAAGCTCTCAGAAAGACCAAACTTAAATTTTTTTAATTTTTTTAAAGACTAAATGTATAAATTTGCGGAATAACTTGCATTTATTTTTTAATGTTTTATTACAGCTGGATGTTGAGATAAAAAATTTACTTCCTGAAGATTGTTATTATGAAAAATATTTTGCATTTATGAAAACTTTGAGGTTGTTCTCATATGTTAAAGTTTTATTACTTTTTTTTAAGTTTTAAGCATATTTTTTTTAATTTTTTCAATCTGTTAAAAATCTAATTTTTGTAAACTTTTTTGAATATCTCATTTTTTAAGATTTTTTTTTATCAGTTTAAGGGTTTTTCTTAATTTTTTTTGTAACTATACTGAATTACGTAAGTTAGAAGTAAATTTCCACGTACGACTTATTTTTTTTATACTTTAAAAGTTTTTTTTGTATAAAAAATAACTTTTTATATTTTAGTACGTCTTTTCAGGATGCGTTGGTTAATTACAAGTTTCTTTATGAAAATATAAAATCTTCTTCTAAGTTAGCCAAGCAAGTTAGCTCTAGAGTTCGCCTTTTGGATTGTGCGCAGGTTTCTACTAAGTTTTTTAACGCAGTTTTTATTAAGAAAAGGAAGTATAAGGATTTAAGTCGTTTTTTTACTATTATTGTTAATGAGTATGAATAAATTATAGTGCGTTCTTTTTAATTTTTTTTATAATATTAAGAATGTATTATTTAGTATCTTGGTGAAAATTTTAAACTTGACTGCGTGCAGTTACTTTATTAACGTTGAATTACTATTTATTATTATTTTTTTCTGTTTTTTGTAAATAGCAATTAAATGTAATAAAGTTATAATTTTCGTACATATATTTATTTATAATTAAGGTTTTTGAATAAATAAAGATTATTAACATTAACTTTTGAGAACTTAAATTTTTAGAAAGAATATATTTGTTAACGTAATACTATTTCAAATTATTTTCGTGATTATTATTTTAAAGGAAAATTTTCAGTAATTTTTTTGAAATAATAATTTGTCATTTTAAATCAGTATTTTTTCTATAATACTGAATTTTGTTGGGGTAAGTAAGAAATACTTTCTGTATCCTTTTAGCTCTAATCCACCTTTTCTTATTTTTTTAGTGGCATGAAGGTTTTAGTTGATAACTAGTATTTTTATTATCATTTTGTTGATCTTCGTATATATTTTTTAGTATAATTATTGTGAGCCAAATTTTTTATTAGGAGCTAATAAAATATTTATTACTCATTATTTATTACTCATTTTTTTTATGGCTCTTAAAGTGAATTAAGTGGAGACCTATCGAACTTTTTATTAGTTGCTTGTAAAGTTTGTTATAATACCAACACTAAAGAAAGTTATCCAAATTGTTATGTCTATTACGTTAATAATTTACCAGATTTTCTTATTTTAAATACATAAATTTATATATAAATTATATTAAAACAAACCATACAAGTTTTAACGTACTGGAAAGTTATTATTAACGTAAAAGCACCCATTTTTTATACTACAAAAGTGATTCGTATGTTCTGGTTAATTGGTTTTCTATTTTATTTTTTTGTTAAACTTTGCGATAGTGATTACTTTATTTAGCAAATTGATAACTTTTTTGTTTATATAAAAAAAGTAAAGTGTAAACATGTATATATTTATATACTAGAAAAATGTTAGTGCCACCCTTGCGCAAGTTCAAAATCTTCTGGACTTACAGGTTTTTATACATTTATATTTAATAATTTTTGCAATAAGAAAATAATTTTTAAAAAGTGGTGCTACGAAGGGATCGAAGAAGCCATAAAAAAAGAAGACTATGATAATGCGGCCGTATTCATTGAAAAATTTTTAACCTTTGACCAATCTTTACTCGATTTGGAGTTGAAGTATTTTTTTAAAACAGTAAACATACGCTGTAGTGAAAGTCTATACATAAAATCATAGAAGTTATAAAAGTAAATCATTAACTTATTATTATTATATAATCCATGCAGCGATACTTCTACTCTTTCCAACAATGTTAAGAAAGTAATACAACAAATCAAAATCGATTATGAGCAAACTTTGCAGTCAAGTGTACTATTTTTCTTTTTATATATTATTTTGATATACCTATTACTAATGTTGCATTGAGTTTAATTTTACTTTTCATATATATATCAAAGGTAATAATGAGGATCTAAGCAGATATATGAAGTTACTACGAACAGTATTTTACATTATTTATACTTTATATATTTTGTTATTAAGTATTTTATTTATATTATTTAAGGATTTTTTTATTTACTGAAGTTTGATTAATTTAATACGCCCACCTCTAAGATTGGTCAAGAAGAATATGGCCTTGAAAAGTTCGTCCAGTGCGAGCGCTCTCGAATTGCCGAACGGGCCCAGCAATGCTTAGACTCCGAGCTCCACGTGGCTCGCCTGGAGCACGACTCCGTATTGCTTAATCAATCAATATTTGTTACTGATCTTTCGTATGTTTTTCAGCGACTATAGGCTAGTGTTTAGCATCACTTTTAATGAACCGTTATTATTAACACTCTCAAGGCGGACTTTGTTTATTTGTGCAAGCGTCTTTTTGAGGATGTCATTTCTTGTGAAAAAGAAAAGTCAACATTCTTAGAATCCGTTGGTAAATTTACCTTTTTTCATTGGTTATTATATTGCTAATAACCAGAAAACTATAGAATCATTAAAAATTATATATGCGTGACTATTTTTATTAAGTATAAGTTACTTGTCTTCATATAACAGAATTTTCTGGGCGTTCTTTTTATTTGCCACAAAATCTTCTGGAAGAATGTCTGATTCAGCTGGAAAAAATATTACTGACGCTTTTTCGCGAAAGAAGTTGATATATCACTACTATTTTTATTCTTATATCATTACTATTTTATATCATTACTATTTTTATTCTTATACCATTATTATTTAATTTTTAATTATACTACGAAGCTTCTTAATACTTTAATAAAGACCTTGAAACATACACTCAACGTATTAACGAAGAGACACTCAACTTAAGCCGTTCTGCTGATAAGGAAAACTTTATTGACCTTTTTTCATTGGGTCAGTCTTTTTATTCTTTCTTTATAATTATCATCATCATTATTATTAGATATCATAATAACTGAACTTGCGAGTATCAGTAATGCAACCAGAAGGTTCCAGTTGCTGATAGAGAAAAGAATAAATGAAGCTACTCTACTCCAAAATGTTTATCTCTATCTATGCATATTGATATGTTCATTATTACTGAATACATTTTTTTATTAGTAAATAGTTAAGTAAATGCTTTGTTAGTTTTTACTTTTACTATTTTTCTAGTTTAATAGGTTTATTAAGTTTTTTAAGAGGTTTTGTTAGTATAGAATTTTCATGTCCTTTAAGGACTTAATTTTTTACCTTTTACACTTTTCTTAGAATTTTATATATAATAATTTTATGCTATTTTTTAACTTCTAACTATCCGAGTCTATGGAGTCGATAATATTATTTTTTTGTTTTTTGTTAATTAAATATTTTGGACTTCTTAATCACTTTTCCCCGTTTTCTTACTTAATTTTGGAAAACTGAAACTTTTTTTTTTTACTTTATTTATTTATCTCTTTACTTTCTTAATAATATATATAACTTTAGATTTTTACATCCATTATAGACTTGCCTATAATGATGTTATGTCCCTTTTCGTCTTTATTACAACATATAATATTACTTTTTATGTATATGATTGTAAACAACTCTCGTTATATTTGCTTTGTGAGGAAAACACCCAACTCACTCTAGTAAAACGGATAACACAATTTAAACGTGACCAGTTGTTTTCCTTATAATTGTTAACGTTATTTTAAAGAGTTAAATAAGCGATTTTAATAAAAGTAAGCTTTTTCCATACGCCCATCGGTTTTGCTTCGATGGATATTGTATAGTTCCCGATTAAACCGTACACTTTGTTTTCTTTTCAAGTTACGCATTAGAATACTATTCAGCCTCCAGTTCAAGCCCGCCAGGAAAAGGTGTGGGTGGGCTTCACTATATATTAGCTTAGTATTTCACGTTATGATACTTCACAGCCACAACTTTTGAAGTTCTTTTTGGCTTTTTCATATGCTAAACTAGCGTGTATGCACAACTTGAAGAACTAATTCATAAAGATACAATAATTTATTGTACCAAAAGCAGAAACGCGAAACCATATAAGGTTTGTGAGGTTCCTAGTGGTGTTTGCTGATCGCTTTTCAAACAGCTATAGAGCTTTCGCTACTCATTTCAGGGTGGTATATATATAAACAAATTAAATGACTTATTACGAGTAAGGTGCGCAATGCACTTATATAGAAGAATTTATATAAAAATGGTTAACTTATTATTCAACACACTAATTTAGGTTTCCGATGCTTCGTGGCTTACTGGTGGAAAAATGGTTATGATAGTACTAGTAATATTGGTTGATATTCTGTCGACTTTATTATCCAGCTTATTGGTTCGCTCTTGGATGAGATAAATAAAAAAATTCAAGAACTCATGGGAAAATATGTCATTCTTGACGCGTATTACATTCGACTAGCAGTTTATAAAGTACTGAGTAACTATCTTATTGGTTATATCATAAGCATCGACATTAATTGGCTTTCACTAGTTCAGTCAATCAGCTGATTTTTTACTTAATTCCGAGTTTTTCTATAGTAACGATTGGCCAAAACTATAACAGGCCATGAATTTACAGGGAACTCGGAAGGACAGTTCCATTACTTTTATGGTGGACGATGTATTTTATGTTCTTCAAGTACACCTTGCGTCCCTTGTGTTGCTCTCCTTTTTATTTATTTATTACTATAAGAAATGCATCAGGCGCGGTATATCTTCCTTGAATACTGACTGTATCTGCACTGTTATCAATCACGCAAACAATATACTTTTGACAGAATATACAGAAGCCCTCGTACATTATTATAATTATAACTATTTTTATTAGTACAATTTTTTTTCAGAAAAAAAATCTCTCTGCATCAAATTGGACTGCCGTTTCACAACATTTATTGCAAGGTGTTCTTTATTTTAAGGCAATAAACTATAATCTGACTTTGCAAAGGCGAACTTAACAATGTATCGGGACGAGTGCAGTCCGAGAATGCTCAGAAAAAATATATTGTAAATAATAACCTTTACATAAATATAACTGATTTTATTTATTTGTAATGATCTTAATATAAAATTTCATAGACGCACCTAAACGATGTGGAAAGTAGCACAAGTTGTATTATAATACTCCACAACGAATCATCAGAAATATTGCAAAAAATGTACCTATCGGATCCTCCAAAAAGGTAATGCACTTTATTAATTGCACTCAACGTATTGTCGTTATAACTATTGGCCTTATTATCATTTTCATTTTACTATTATTAAACAGACTCAAAGTTCTCTCGTGTCTCGAAGCATTTCTACAAACTGCAAAATTCTTTGATTCTCTCCTTTCCGTTATTTTCCTTGTTTTTATTTCTAAACTTTTATTTATATTAACTTATATAGGAAACGCTTTTAAAGACATGCTCAACAATTTTTTATAAGCTCGTGGACAATATGCTACAGGGATTATTAGACTTGAGGTTTCTAATTGTTATTATTTTTATCTATATTGCGTTGTTCATCGTCATTCAGATATGTCATATCTGATGAAGAGCTCTTAATGACGGAAGTGAATGACCCGTTCATGCATGCTTTTTGCGACGGACTAAAGCAGGTCATGCAGCCCTTCAAAGTTGATTATTATTGTTTTTAGTTGGAAATTTGTAATCCTTTGGTACAAAGAAATACATGACTGATACAAATTATGCAAAGTTGTGCCGCATTTTAATGCCCTATATAGCTCGATCCTACGAAAAAGTTGTCATGCAAATGAAGTTTAATTACGTAAACTTTGAATGATTCCTCACTTTCATTGCTTTATCGTTCTACGTAATTTTACTGTAGAATGGAGCTCTTCGACTGGACAAGGATGTTCAGTACCTTTTGTCCTTTCTTACTAACTTAACGGGGATAAGCGTCCGGAACAAATTCTATCGAGTATTGCAAATCACGTGTCTGCTCACCTTTGAAAAGGTCATTACTTAATATATATATTTTTTCGTCAGTAATAAATAAGTAACACTTTAAAAGCTACATTATGACCAAAAGAAAAGTTCATATATATATATATTAAAAGCACGTGCCATTCATTACATGCACTTAATTAACCGCATGCTCTAATTAGTCTAACAAACGCGAGCATTTATGGTGACGAGATGTTAATCTCTTAATGTCCCGATTGGCCTATTATTTTGCATTGTTGTCCAAAAAGTTAAATATAATAGATTTTACATATTTTTTGAATTTTTTTTTAATTTTATTCAAAATTAAAAATTATAAAAGACGTTGCTTCTTAAAAACACTGAAATCTAGGCGCTGTTGCAATAAGTATAATTTACTTGGCAAGCTTTCTATTTGCTTTTGAAATTCATTAAAAGGAGATATAATATTATATCCAATATTTATATAGCTATAAACTAATTATGTTAATTATCAATTAAAAATCCAAGCAATCAAAGAAAATAAGAGGTGGTCGCCCCGTTTTCCCCCTAATGCGTGCAGCTTTCATTTTAACTTCGCTTCAATATAGTACTTTTAAAATACGAAAAGCGTACATTTCCGACTTAAGTAAAATGCACTTAACAACTCGAAGTATGTGTTATCTTTAAACTCTCTCAATTCAAACAAGTAAAACGATTCAACATTACTATATAACAACCAATGACCACATAACCGAATGGCAATTAACAACGACCCACAATCGTTGGCGTAGACCCCCGTGAATCTCCTCGTTAACGCACTTTTCTCTTTTTTTGTATATAATCATTTAAGTGCGTTCTTCTGTATATTGAATAACTATAAATCTTTCAAATATTATATTTTCAATTTATTATAAAGGCGGAAGAGGCCAAAGAGTTTCTCCTAATCGAGTCCGACACAGAGAGATGGCCCTTCACGAATAAAGAAGCCCGAGAGATACTCACCTTAAGGACAGATTATTCAGAGGAGATTGAACAATTATTATAAAAATAAAATAAAAAAATAAAACATGGTATCATCGGCTTGTTAACCAATAAAAAGTTAATAATTCCCTAAGTTCACGCTTTTAGACGGCTGTAATAGGCTGTCACCAGCGCCTCCATTTGGTTGGGCGTTAATAACTCCGGGCGCATGTTGCCATCCACTCCAGCTTTTGTTATTATATATATAAAGGTTATCAATGATAAAAATTTTCGTCAAACCTTCTTTTAGTATTGATAGCGCGTCTTCTTTGCTTTCAGTCAATTGACTGTCATAACATGCAAGGTAGTTTAATACCAGTAATTATGTAAATCAGCTAACAATAACAATAATAACGATAAAAAGATCCCCAACAACCGGATACTTCTCGAATACGTATTAACAGTTGCTCTCAATATTCAGAAGTTATTCCCCTAAACATTATTTTCAACTTTTATGTAACTGAACCAAAGAAGCACTATAGCTACACCATTAAATTGCTTCTAGTAGACTACTCCTAAACTCGTGAGCACACGGTCGTATGCACCATTAAGAACAACAATGAAAAGTAAATCGTTAATGAGTATTCACTATCAAGCTTCTTTAGTTACCTGGCCGAAGCTTCTAATGAAACTCTGTAAGCTCGAAAAAAGAAAGAAGCGAGAAGAACTGTTAAAAGCTTAATAATATAAACCTCATTTTTTTTATATTAATATATTATAATATAAAACCGTTTGAAACAATTATAATGATAATAAAACTTTTAGAGGATGAATATACAAAAAAAATTACGCCAATCCGTTCAAACATTTTTTTCTTTTAAAGGTAAAGAGGTGTGTAGAGAGCGTTACAAAGTCCTTCATCGATACTACACTACTAATGAAATAATAAAAATAATCTCATTATAGCTATTACTCTTCGGGGGGGGGAGCGGTTGAGGAATAATGCGAACCACGGCGCCGTCTACTTCGGGAGAAGGAACAAAAACTTCGCGGGGAACTTTGTATCTAAAAAAAAAAAAAGAATAACATAAAACAATTTATAGATATTAAAAACTTTACATAAGTTTACAGCTGCAAAGCCTTTGAATCAAGTGAGTCAGTCGTCCAGAAACTTTGGAAGTATTATTCGAAGACATGCGCTTAACATAAAAATTATTATTATTACTACTATTATTGTAATTATTATTATTAATACTCTATAAAACAATATAATAAGAAATTATATTATACTTCCGCTACTTCTCTTTGAAATAGAAAAGTCATATCGGCTCTTGCATAAGCCCAAGCATTCTTTCTCTCGGCAACGCTGTGCCTTCACAAATGATAATTATAATATATGCGAAGAGTAAAACCATTTATAAATTTCTAACCAACAATTATTCTCCTATTTACTTTTTGTACAAATTTAAGTAAAAGTTATAATGTTTACAATATTAATATTTGTTTAAGTTATAAGTTAAATAATTCGGTAAAAAATTGTAAATAAATATTAATCTTTTCTCAACAAGTAACCAAATTGATAAATCAATAAAAAATGAATATATTTTGCAAAAAGCGGAAAGAGACTATAAAAAATATCAAGTTACATAAAAAGTTTCACTAAAGGCGCTGTTATGCCAAACGGTAAGTTTCCGATAAGCCTTAACTTGGGCACTTCTATGAGTAAAGCCCGCATTAAATATAACTTAGTCTAAAAATAAAAATTAGGCAACATATATTTTCAAAAACTTATGCAGAATTATATTTAGAGCTTTTTTTATATATTATATAGCAAATGATACTATACCAGAATAATAAAGTCTTACAAAAGCTAATAACGTAAATCATTTAAATCTTTAGAATAATTTAAAAAAATTGTAGAAATATTAGCTAAAAACCGTATGTGCCAGCCCATATAAATTAATAAGTAATTTATCTTATTTATCCTAGAAAACTTTTTAAATAATAAAAAAAACCAAATATAAAGTTAAAAAAACTCGATATTAATAAAAGTAAATAAGTTTACTGTAAATGTATTTAGTTTTAAAGATAAAAATCTCTCATAATACACATAAAAAAAGTAACAAATGTACCCCTCCAATCTTGTTTGATAAAACCGATTGTGTCTAGGGTTTGAGCCATGTCCCAGCAGAGTATGTCAGAGTGTATGATCTCGAGTCTATTAAAGCTGGCATCTCGAAGTTGCTGTTAAATACTTACATTACCTTTCGTTAATAAAAGTCTCACAACTTTTTTGGCAAAATTATTACTTCTTAAGAGTAATAATTATTTAACTTTAGTGTAATAGTCGTAAAATCTAGGCTCAAACTATTAATAATATATAGTTATTCTACAAACTTTGTGCAAAAAACACCTAAAAAAAGGAAACTTGCATAAGAAATCCGACCAGTAATAACTCAAAATACAAAATTAACTTTTGAAATAGAACAGTTATAAACGTGACAAAATTATTATTTATCTAAAAGCGCAAAAAAAATAAATATTTATAAGTACTAACTGAAAGAGTACTAATAGCAACCATAAAAAAAAATAAACTACGCGCAAAGTGGGCATAAATCTTTGGTCAATCTCCACGGCTATAACTTTTTGAGCTCCAGCTTTTAATATGGACCTAGTTAAGCCACCAGGACCTGAAACATTAATATTTAGATTCGATTTAAAAAAAACAAGGCATAACAGTAGTAAGTAAAACCAGATCCCACTTCAATAACTGTATGTCCTTTAAGATCCCCCAAAGTGCGAACTATTTTATCTAGTTATTAAAGCTAAGCTGTGAGAAAAATAACGTCATTGCATATACTAAAAAAAAACTAAACTAAAGTAAAATGCAATACCGTTCACGTTTTTGTCCAATATAAAATTTTGACTTAAACTTTTACAGGCACTAACTCCATACAATCTTAGTAACTCAGAGATGGAATATAATTCAGGAAACCTCATATTATCTTCAAGGAGATTTTTTTTAAACTTACACACTTAAAATATCAAATAAACGATACTACGGTACCGGAGTACCACCGCAAGCATAGTACTCCACGTCACCAAGTAACGATGAAACTCGATTTCTAGCACTTATATATAGCTGCCAGCTAACCCATCTGCTCAAATCACGAGGAGCTTTTATAGAACTGCGTGATGAGCGGCCGCAAGTGCCCCCGTACTGATTCTCCCCTCCAGGAATTCGGTGAACATTTTAATTACTGCCAGAAGTCGCACGCGCATCTTGAGGAACATAAAATGCGACTTATTACAATTATAGCAAATTACGGCTATTTAAAATACCAAATTATGCTATCTAACCCTTTGACGGGCAAAACTCTGGGACTTAAGATAAATTTGTTTTTTCTACGAAATCAATAAATTGAACCTAGGCGACAAGCGGAAAATGTAGTGAATTAATAATCTATAAAGGGTTGATGCTTTCAAGGTTTGTATACTTGTATAATGCGCCTTCTACTCCACTCCTGTTATTCGAGTGCAGGCTTAAAGCAATCAAACAAATCTGTTTCTGCTACTTTCCTACCCCAAATCATCGGCGCACGCTAACTACGCGTACCGAGGAACTGCTTCGTCACCTAAAACTTTCTGTTTCTTTCATTTTATATGCACATCACTATTTATTCATATATCTTTGTACAAAAGTATCTATTTACGTAGTTAAACATTTTACTTATTTCTAGAAAAATTATAAATGCCCAATATTTGATCTATGTTGTATTAAATAAGCTTTTCTTCCCCAAAATTAACCAGCAGAAACTCAGCGCTAACCCGCGAGCTGTTATAAAAGAACTCCAGAAAAAAATACGGATTATAAGTCAAGTTAACTACTATAAAACTAAGAGACCTAAAAAATTAGTAATAAATTATACTTATCCACTTCTAGGTAAACCTTAATGTGCTAAGAAAACAAAAGAATGCAAATAAAACTGGAATACATAAAATACTATCAAAAACAATAGTCGTGGTAATTTTAATCACAGCAGTATTTAAAATCAATAGTAGTAGTAATCCATTTATTAATGCATTAAAACGGGACCGAGTGCACGAGAAAGCTGAGACTCTCACCGTAGTTTATTCGGCGGATGGCTTCAGTAATAAGAGGGCTGATATCTATAATGTTGAGTTTGTTTGTTTTCGCCAAGTTACCCTCTTGGTTGATAGTGTTGGTCGTTATTATCTGTAATATGTATATATAAAGTTAGTGATCCATACACTTTCAGCAAATAAAGAAGTAGAAAACAAGAAAACATAACTTATCTAATATTTATCAAGTAAAAACATTAAACTGATAGAAATAGGTATACCACATCAATATCACTGTTATTTAATTTTTCAATAGAATTTCCGCTAAATATGCCGTGTGTTACCACGCAATAAACAAAAGTGGCTCCTAATAATATTCGAAGTTATACTTATAATATAACGAGGTCTAAACATTTTCCAAAAGACCTTTATTTTTAACGACTTTTGCAGCTTCTGTAAACATATCCACTCCATTCATCATGTCGTCCTAAAAAGGTTATTACACTGATATCAACGGATCCCAATTACGTATTAACTAAATGTTTATCGACAAAACTAAGATTTACGCCGATTAATAGTTTATATTAAATTCTATTAGCAACTAGGAAATAACATTTAAACAAAAGATGAAAAACAGTTTAGTATTTACAAGACATAATAAAAAAAACCCTAATTTTTGTAATATATTCTTATATACCTTTTCTATAACCCTAACATTACTATTTTGCATAGAATATAGGAAAAGCCCAATAGAGGTACCAGTATAATAACTGTTCTATCCAGGACATCGCCAATGACCGTCAACTTAGAGTTTCCCGTGCTTTCAATACTTTCTATATGATTAATAAGTGCAAACTTTGCCTTCAGTTTGTGCGCCACTGAAGCGCAGCGTTTGGCTCCTCCAGCATTTTTGGCAACAATAACAAGTTTTTCGCAACCATTAAAGGCAACTTTTTCGTTGATGTACTTCACGATAAATGGCTCAATAAACTATTTAAAAGCAATATTAATAAACGTAATAATAATTATAATAATAATAATAAAAACCAGACTATCCACAGGAATATCGAAAAAAGCCTGAATCTGCGGGGCATGAAGATCTAAGACAACAACTTGCGTGGCTCCTGCTACTCGCAACATATCCGCTACTAACTTAGCTGGTATCCCCCTCCGCTTTCCTTTCTTCTTGCTTTGTTTACTGCACAAAATAATAAACAATAATAAAGTTTAAAAAAAAGGATAAACACACGATATAAAAGATATTAACATATAATAGAATACAAAAACGTAACAAAACTTGCTTTTAAGTTTCTAAATCTTAAATATAAAAAGGAGGAGATAACAGTAATAACTTTTTAAAAAAAAATAGTAGTTACTAAAATAAAATAACTCTTAGGAAGGAAAAGCAAAAGAAAAAATTTATATAAATTCTTCAACTTATAAACTAGAGTAATAAACAATAATAAATTTATAAAAATAATTAAAAATCGATTGTGAAGTGCCCGCTTCATAATTAATTTTAAGCTACGCAATTTAGATATCTCATAAAAGTAGTAACTACAATACCTGTAGGGAAAATATGGAAGAACGGCAATAATTTTTCTTGCGGCAGCCATTCGACAAGCCATAATGAGTATGTAGAGCTCCATAAGAGAATCGTTAACAGTTAAGTCTCTATAATTATAAATTAGTAAAAATAAAGTAAAAGTAATATAGAAGAGTATGAAATTTAAATATAGACCAATATGTAGTTAGATAAAACAAAAAGGTATTTTTATAAAAATTACCCAAATCCACTTTGAACGATAAAGCAATCGGAATCTCGCACGCATTCCAAAATTTCAATGTCGCATTCTTTAATAAAAAGAATACTGAATTAAATAAGAAAATTAATCTATAGTAAATTACAGTGAAGCTTTTACCTTATAAAATTAAATATTAAAACTAAATAAATCTAAAAATAACCTCCATCTTCGTTTCTGGAGACTCTAGCTTTACTAAGCTTAACGCCAAGTATTTTACATATATTATCCGCAAGTGAGCAATTGGAGCTTCCAGAAAATATTTTAAGCCTTGAAGACATTTTTAAAGCAACTTAGCTCTAAAAATAACAAAAAGTTAACTATTTGTAAACTTATAATAAGTAAACTGATATATAAATAACTCATGCATTAAAACTAGCTTATATATAACTATAAGGGTTGAATTGTGGATGTAAGTAACGGAAATAAAGGGACATAAAGGCGGTATAGCTATACCGTAAAGCAATCAGCACACTAAAAGATCAGGGTACAAAGTATTAGGGACCCGCACGTGTATTTTCAGTTTAGTTCTATTGGTTAATTTTTTTTGCAACTGTCAAGCTCTTTTATAAAACCTTGAACCGTTTAACCCTAATTCAGTTTTGCTAATATATAACATCCGTAGGAATGATTAATCCTACGTCGTGTTTCAGGCGCCTTACTTATATTTATTATTCTTGTATAAAGCTCAATAAATTTTCATCTATCTCTTTTGCTGCTTCCTCTTGCTCAAGCGTTTTTCTTATTTTTGTTGAGGCCGTTTGATTAATATAATTTTTAATTAATTAACAGATCCATAAAGCATCAAGTCGTAACCTTAATTTTAAAGGAAAATATAGATTTTTTACTAATTAAAAAGAGCAAAATAGATTGACCTTAATCGGATAAGGGTTATTCTGTATGTTTTCCTCGAAAGAGGTTTTTGTATTCATCCCAAGGGGTAATATCACTCCTTTACTGGACAGTAGAGGAATATGTCCGCACTTTCGCATTTAACCTGGCTTAAAAGCCACCACCAGTGGAGCTAGATCCGCTGTTCTCGCATTGCTGCTAAATACGACTCCCCCACCTTACATTGGTTAGATAAATGTACTTAGTCAGAACAAGGTATTGTCCTAAAATTTTGTTGTTTTGTTACGCTGTATCTAATCGTTAAAAACAACCAATTAAAGATATGTCATCTAGTACTTTGTCATAATAAAATATTAAGGTGTTATTAGTTCTTGAGAGGTTGTTTAATATATTGTGGTGACGTAAAAAAAAGCAGATCATGTTGTAATTGCTCAACGCAGGTGTGAGCATTTAGTAACAACGACTGTGTAAATTTTTAAAAAATTTTAAAAATCACAAAGATTGGTCTATCGCACCATCAAGCAAATACACTGACGCTGGCAACCACACTCTGGTCGACCTCATACTGTAACACAACAACACAGTATACACAACATCCAAGACACAATATAAAAACACAAGATACAAAAACAAAATATACGGGGAACACAAAACACAAAATAGAAAAAAAAATTAAACAGATTACAAAAAATGTTATATGATACATTAATTATAAAGGACACAACCATAAAACATAAAAAACAAACAAACACAAAACACTAACCCTCTAAATTTTCACAGAAAAAATGGTGGGTAATTAATCCAATCAGAAACATGAAAATCAACCAATAAAAATACAAGAAAAGAGAAATTAATATTTAACAAAAAAAATTTAATTTGGTCTATCTTATTAATTAAATACAAACTAAACAAAGTAATTTTATCTGGTGCAATTAAATTTATCGTACATATATGGGAGCATATTTTGACCTTTTGTAAAAGTATATAGACCGAAACTGGTCATTAAAGGAATCCTTGATTTAAATGTTCTTATATACATTTTTTATATAAATTTCGATATAATGTTCGAATACTAGCAATTATAATGGCCATTAAAGCTCTTATTCGCCGAAATATAGACAAAAAAAGTAGTTAATTGCTTTGCAGGTGATTTTGTCGAGGGAATTCTTAAAGCGACCTGTTAATTGTAAAAAGAGAGGGGCATCTTTTTACGTCATCTCTAACTAAAGTAAACAAGAGAGCAAAACTGCTTCTACGTTGGTACGCAGATAGTAAGCATCGGAAATTTTTTTTTTTTTTAGATGAGGAAATCTATACTACCGAAGCACAGTTAAACAAGCAAAATGATAGTGTATACTCTTAGCAGTTCTAAAGCCCAAAAAGGTTTTTTGTTACTTAACGAGGTTATCACCCGGCATATAAATGGTTTATTTGGGCAATTCCTATCTAGGATCCAGTCTACGCGTGTAGGGAGATCTGTTAGTAGTTAACTACTACACTATATACCCAGTTAATGAACACAGATAAGTTATAGAGAACACTGTTCTTGGTTGAAGGTGAGTACCAAAGACAAAAGCCGCCAGAATAAGATCTCTTGCCTTTAAAGGACCGACAAGGGAACCTAACAGCACTAACAACGAAGGCGGGAACAAAAAAATTGGGTTGTTTTTATTATTCTATTTATTTATTTGTTTGTTTATTCATTAATGACAGTTCCTGGTGTTCGACCGAGTTAAAACCTTCAAATACCCAAGCTCACAATCAGAAGTGATAGAAGATTATTACAAACAACATTCGGGGGACCATAATTTTTTTACAACAGGAAAAAAAAGAACTAGCTCTTAAGCGCGTCACATGAGCAGCGATTACCTTTCCTTTCCCACGACTCGTAAATAAGTTCGCTCACCAGCAGGCGATTAGTGTGCCAGGTGAACCTGACGTAAAGGGCCACGGCATGGCGTTGGACGAGAATGTTTAGCTGAGGGCCCCAGTGAAGAGCATCATTTCACACAAACCACGGCGCCTTGTCAGACAAGCAGCAATTTGTTCTGTCGCACGAGAAGTGCCGACGCTATCGCAGTGGAGTTGTAGGTCCAAGCAGCAGGCGCGTATGTCATTATTGGCTGAATGTAAGACATACAATTGCCGTTTGTTTCGCAGAGAAAGCTTACTCTTGCAGCAAAGCAAAGGATAAAGCACCTTGGTTGCCGCCTTGACCTTCGCTACTACCTAGCCCACGTGGGGCATCCAGGAAATTTTGTTGTCGATGATGAACCCCAAGTATTTCGCTTGAGGACATGGAATCTTCAGGCCATTAAAGGTTAAGGGACCAACAAAGGGACGCGTTTCTTTAAAATTAATATAGCTTTGCCCTTCATCGAGATTTATAGTAACCTACCAACTACGGCAGTAGTCAGCAAGGGGGTCAAGATAGCGCTATAGATGCTTACATAGCAAGGCGGGAGATTTCCAAGAGGAATATACGATTGTATCAGCAACGTAAAAGGCGATTGGTGCATGGCTCAGACGGCAAGGGCAAACCACTGTGTAAATTGCCAAATAAAAGGGGCGAGAGAAGAGACCCCTGAGGAACCCCTGCTGTCAGAGATTGAAGGGCGACCGGGTAACTCCCACGCGCGCGCTGAAGACGAGAACATTCAGATATGATTTCAGCACATTATAAAGGCCATGAAGGACGGATAACGAGCGCAATTTGTTCAGCAGATATTCATGCAAAACTTGATCAAAAGCCTTTTCAACCTCAAGGAAGACAGCGCCTGTTGCCTTCTATTGGTTAAAAGCGCGAGTGGTTCATTCAGTTAAGCGGAGTGCCGAGATCCAAATTGAAAATCCGATAAAGCTTTCCTAGCGTCAACGACTTCTTTAAGACAGCTCAGTAAAACGGCCTTACTCACTTTGCCGACTGCGGATAGTAAGCTGATGGGTCAGTCCCTGCTAAATGCTGATTCCGGTTTAAGTGTTTTGGTAGCATCACAATGATCGCCGTATTCCACCGAATCGGAAGGGCGCCAAGGAGCATCGAAGATTTAATAAGGATGTAAAGATAGGGTATCCCTATTAATGGGATGTTCTTCAGCGTCTCATTAGCGATGCCATCGGGGCCAGGCATTTTTTCGTCTAGGCAGCGCTTCGACCATTGCTTGCACCTCGTCAACATTAACTAGATTAAGTGGTTAGTAGCTAACTGGGGGTAAGCTCAGCCGAGGGAACGCATCATCATTAGCAGTATAAGGAGCAAACGGCACGTTTTGGATAGCAAGGGCATTGACGAAAAACGTAGCTTTATCCCCACCACCCTCAGTCACTATATTTCCATCACTAAGGGGCGGTAGCGGTGCAAAAACCTATTTTTGATCCTTTTAACAAATTTCCAAAAGGAGGAGCCTGTTGCTACTCCTGCTTCTGTTATACGATGCATTTACTCTCCCATTTATTGTTAAAATAGGCCATTAGCTTTTTTCTAATGCACCTCTGAAGTCGATTAAGCAAAAGTTTGGCTTCGGCGCTCTGCGACAACACGGCTACTCGAAACGTCGACGTAGGCAGATACCTTTAGTACAGGCAGGCGAATCTGGGCGGTACGTTACTTCACGAGTTGGCGTGGCAGCGGTGTATGCCAGGTTCAGTGCGGTTTCGAAAAGGGCAACAGCATTAGCCAGCGTGGCGGGCGTGAACGGTAATGACGGACAAGGGGACAGCGTGGTTTCTAATATGCCAGCATATTTGTCCCAGTCAGTAAAAAACGGGTAATGGTCTATGGTGTCCTTCTTATCCTCTAAATCGAGAATAAATGGTGGTTACACCTCTTAGGGCGCTCCAATTGCCGTAAAGAGATGTATATCTTTATGTATGGCGATACCCAGCACCTCCACTGTGACTTTAATCGCTAAGTGTGCTGGTTGCTGGGGACCTAGCGCGCACAGCCCGTGCAAATCAGTGTAAGCCTCCAAGATGTGGCCATTCGTGTTATCGGCTCGGCTTTACCACGTAGGCCGCTTGCAATTAAGATCCCGCCTAAAACAGCAGAAGAGGCATTCCCAGGGATAGCGTATAAATAGGAGGGAGGAAACAGTTTCCAAAGGGATTTGTAGACAGCGATTACGGTCACGGGCCCCTGGTGGGTCATACCCAGGGAAATCCTCATTGCTTCGACCCCTTGTAGAGCTGGCATAAATATCGAGTGTTGTCGAATACTCCATTTCACCAAGGCAGCCACGCCCCCGCCACATGCATCAATTCTTGGCGATACGTAACAAATTATCACAAATTAAATGCAAACTTAGGAAGGAGGTACGTTTCGTTGATAGCGCACACATCAATCCTTCCTCGTAGTAACAGCTCCTGAAACTCGTGCTTCTTACTCTGAACACCATTTGCATTCTAGATTAGGAGTCGAATGTGGCGGCTCCTCTTCGGCTTAGAAACTGTGGCAAACAGATTCCAGTCCTTCCACAATTTAAAGCATGCTGGATGAATTTGCCGTTAAAAATTACTAACATCTGCCGTATTGTCGGCTGCGAGTGTTCAGCTTCCGCAATAGAAGCGTGGCCAGGAGTTTGGAACCTAAAGGGATATTGGGCAAGCTTTGATGAGGTTTTGTCCTCAAAAAAAGGCGCGCAAGAGATCCCCGGGGTAGCAGTACTGTTAGTAGTTGGCGCCGACGGAGTATACTTTGCGGGTTAGCTGACTGTCTTACGCGGATAATATTTGCAGCCTTGATAATTAGCGATATGTACCTCGCCACAATTCGCACATCTAGCAGGCAACTCTTGTGATCTGGTACACTCTGCGATCAAATGAACCTCCCCGCATTTAACAAGTTGAGGTGCCGCAGCGTGGCTAAAGGTTTGGCAGCGGTGGCACTGCCCAGAGGCGACTGCTTTTTCGAAGTTTCTATTTTTATCTGAAGACGGGAAAGAGTCTTCATCTCTAAGAGATTTTGTCGCTCCGTTTTGGGTATATGCGCTAGTACTGGCGGTAACGGATGCTTCTTCTGCTCGCCATTAACAGTGTCCTCCGTGAGCATCCGTGCCACTCGGAGGGGTGATGCTCGAGCGCGCAGGTCCGCCTCGGAGGTGGAGATATCAAGTTCGCAATAAATTTCAAGGATAACAAATCTGTGTGACTTGTCTTCAGGTAATTGATAGGTAAAATGTTGAAATCCTTGCTTGCGCATTATTGCTGTTGTCGGAAATATTTTAATTTCAAGACGCGTACTTTTTGACCTCAGGATCATGGCACCGTTGGATTACAAAAGTTGTACAAGCACGCCACTTGTTTTTCGCAAAGGGTAATAGGAGGGATTTTCTCTTTACGAGTTCGCAAGGAGAGTTCTGAAGTAGATGGTCATTCAATTAATAGAGGGACGATGCCAGGAGTGCTGCCCATCTCTATGTCTACGGTGTCTTGTAAAGCTTTTTTGGGCCTCTCTGATAATGATTTTCGGGTTGTTTTTACCTATAAAGGGGAAAACTTAATACTACCATTACTATTAATATTTCTATTTTTTTTATTACTGGATATATTTATTGCTATTAGTGTTGTTACTAACTATAATATTATTATTAACGACGCCAGTATGAGAACTATTAGTAATAAAGTTATTGCTACTTACTACTACTATCCTTAATATTAGCCATTCCTTGTGAATAGACTCGCCTTTTGTAACCCTTAGAATCTCGCTATCTTCCATTACACCACTTCAGAAGAATCTGGTTGGCCTAGAATGTGTAAGGCCGATATATAGTTAGTTGTATTATCAAAGGGTTCCCTTCGCCTTTTAGACCCATTTTTGTCCTGAGTGTTTTTAGTAACTTCTAGAAGTTTTGACTTTGTAGAATTCTAACTCTTTTCTGAGTTCTTCTTCATAAATAGCCAAAAAGTTAGCATTGAATGCTCGAATTCCTTCTTCAGAGGACAGACACATAATTAATATAAAGATAAATCTATATTTTTTAAAAAAATAAAAGTTAAAAGGGAGAAAAAATAATAATTAAAAAAAAGTAACAATAATAATTACAGTAGATATATAATATATATAAGGTCTGTAATATAAGGTGAGTGAACATCCGGTAGCTTAAGTTTACTAAAATGTGTAAGTATATATTGAATAAATCCCTAAAAAAGTAAGTTAAATAAAATTCGCAAATTCTAAGAAGTTAAGTGCGCGGCCAAAATCACAGCCCTCGGTTAAAACAAAAAAAAAAAGTTTCTCGTTTTAATTATGGGCAACACCGTTCGTATAGCTTTACAAAAGGTTAAAAAAAGAATTTCCATTTATATATATTTGTTTAAATTAAATTTAAGATTCTTAGAATAAATTCTAATTTGGTTCCGTTTAAAAGATACGTCAGAGATAATTATCAAATTTGTATATACAAATATATGGTTAGCATAGCCTCTGCCAAACTGTTTAATAAGGCATTTGTTTCATAAACTTTAGTTTATAATATTATACTTGGTTTTTTGAGGATTATTATTGTTTAGGTGTGTGTGCAATTTTAATAAACCCTAATGGTGCTCGACATGCTCGTTTTAATTCGTCCCTTAATTACTACACTTAACCTCTCAAGCGTCACCGACCAGAATTGCTACTAGCTAGGCGGCCCCTGACTCTGTGGTTTATTCTATTTTTTATTTTTATTTTAGGTCCTTTAAAGGTCTCAAACCAAATAACATGTATTTCGCCTCCATAAGCTCTCCAGGGTATCCTCCAAAGGAGTATAAAGACATTACCGCAATGGTCTGGAAAACAGCGAAGAAATATCAGATTTCACCCCACTCCTTGGTCTAGGGGCGTAGGGGCGGAAAATCACCAAAAACCACTACTGGTGATCTGGCCCCAAACTCTTGATCGGAGACCTCCTGGTGACACCTACCAGCCTCACTGCCAGCCGCTACCCTCCCCTCGAAGGAGGGTGGTTTATGCTATTCATTAATCTAGTATACATATACACATAGAACATTAAAAATTTTATTAAATTTTTTGCTTATCATATTTTGCCCATTGATATTCGGAGCAACCCCAAAAATCTTGTTAAATTTTTTTAAAATAAAAATCCTACTGATTCATAGGATCACAAATTTTAGTTAATTGGAAGCGAGGTGCAAGTATATAGTGTATAACATATCAAGAAGTGTATCAGAGTTAGTTCAACAGAAGATACATACATCACCATCTAGCACCTCAAACTGGGATCCAACCCTAAATATATATTATCGCTTGGCCTCTTTTTCTTATTGTAGCCCCTTTGTTTATAAGTAGTAAATTTGTATTTTGTACTTTTTAAGGTAAAGTTATAAGGGTTACGCTTTGAAAGCAAAATAAATCTTCTTATATGTAAGCACTCTTTACTACATTAATTTGTTTTAAGAAAAAACCTTTCAATCCCAAATATATGAGTATTGACCTATTATATAGGTAATTTAGAAAATAAAATAATAAAAAATGAGACACTTATAACAAATATTACGGTACTAATAACGCATGTTCAGTAACTGTGCACACCTTCCGAGATTAACAGGTATATAAGTTAAGTGTCTCCCCACATATTGGTTTTTAATAGTCTCGTTTTTGAGCTTTTCATCATATATTATTATAAGAGAAATCCGACAAGTCAGATACGTAAAACAATCCTAAGGGTTCGAGAGTTGTCGTCGTATCTCAGCGGTTAAGAAAATTAAAGCGATTAAAGCGCATCTCAGGGTTGTGGGTTCTATTTCCACCGACGCGACTCTCTTTTTCGGTCTTGGAGGGTCGCTTATTTAATCTCATTATCCTATATTATTATAGAATCAAAAAAACAGTGGAAGCCCTGGAAGACTTAAACATTTAATTCGGAACAACTTATTGACAATTTGACCTGATTTTATTATATGTTTAAAGGTATATCTAATTTCTAAAGAACAGTAAACTGCTAAATAGTGTATAACTTTTAGCTAAAGCATCGTCGATACAAATGCTGTTAAATTAGGTGATTAGTACTGACGTATAACTTAGGTCTACGCCTATAAAATTTCAAGATTATAACTGAAAAGATTAGAAAACTTATAAAGGTTAGCTTTTCAATTTCGAAGTTCAGAGTTTTAGCAAACTTGGTTTATTTAAACTTAATGCTATTTTTATATGTTTAAGGTACTGAGATTAGCTGCTAGTTTAATGTAAACCCCCATAAATGGGCGCAATTAATATTTTATTAGGTTCCAAAGAACATGAATACTTAAGTTAATATTTTGCCTTAAAATGTAAGCTAATTTCATAATATGCAAAAAACTTCTCCCCTTAACCTAAATTTGGTGTCCGTGTTTTGTGCTCATATTTGTAAGCGGTTGTAAAAATTACAGTTTTTTGTTCAAAGGCGGCATTCATAATACTGACACTGAAATCCAATCCAGAATTAAATATGCTAGAAAATAAAGTTGACTGGAAAACAGGAAAAAAGGAAAACAACTCCAGCTGGAGGTGTTTATACTAAATTTTTGGTAGTGAGGCTCCACTTTCCATATTACGTTTATAGCTTTTCCTAAAGAGTCAACTTTTAAATTAACCACCTTTTTTTTAATGGCTCTTCATATCTCTTATATATACTAATATTGCAAAGCTTTGTCTTTCTAAAGAAAAAAAATTCTGGAGGTAACGCATACGAGCCTGTGGAGACGTATAACAATATAGGTATATATTATAAATATACACCCACCGTATGTCTAGTGAAAAGATTACTTCAAGTTGTTTGCCTACCAGCTAAGTGTTGTTTTTTAACATGTGATTAGCGGATGTGGACAGTAGTGAAAGTCCTTATCAACACTGCTATGAAGCTTTTCTGGCAGAAACTACTGACCAACTGGAAAATCTAGAGCTTGGTACACAGCGCTTTAAGGGAAGAGTATATATAAGGTTGCCCAAAGTAGTTCAGTTTTTACTCTTTAACGCAATTTATATAGGTTACCAAGAGGAATGAAAACAGAGTGATAGTCTGTTTCGATAAAAGTAACATGGTCCTCAAGGCAACATCTGGAAATATTTTGCGCACCTTTCCGTAAATTTAGTTTAGAGCTTAAATGCTTTTTGATAGAACAAGAAAATTTTCTGCCGTGCCCCATGGTTGTTTATAATCTTTACTCCACAGGCTGAGCGACCTGAGAAAAATACATCATAAGCGCGGAAAAGATAACTTCATTTCACTTTTATTAATAAGTGGTGAGGTAAGCGTTATTTTAAACTCCAAAAACTCCTGCATATGAAAGAGTTTTGAGAGGTCTTCACTATCTGCTCTAAAGAAACTGTGGCTATAAAAGAAGTAATTATATCCTTAGTTAACAAGCACACGAGCTTAGAAGTTGGAAGCTACAAAAGTTCAAGAATGCTCTGAAAGTGGAGGATTTTCGTCTAGAACGAAGAGAAAATTAAGGAGATCGTAATAAACTTAGTAGTTTGACTTTAATTTTAAAACTTAGAAAAGAAAATATTAAACGGCCCCCCCTACTGATAACTCCGTAGCCTATATATAAATAAAGATAAGTAGATTTTTTTATGAGGAAAATCATAAGTTACTCTCTCTGGCGTGACAAACATTAGATAGTCGGCAGTGGTAGGAAGAAGGCCCATATTATAAGCCTGAAAGGCCAAAAAGTTGTTTAAAAAACTCTAAAAAAGAAAAGACGCCGAACTTCTTACTTTGTAAATTGGGAGAGCCAATACAATAATATTACTTGCGACACATACTGCCTTGGGAACTTTTAAATCAAGGTCTTCACCGAGAATAGAAAAAGCTTATGCACGTAAAGAAGTCCAGAAAGCTATTGAAAACTAGCAAATATATATACATATACATTACCAGAATTAATATTCCAAATATTTTTAATAGGAGTTTGAAACATCATAACTAAAAAAAGCATGCTGAACAAGTGAAGGGAGTTGCCGACCATCCACGACATAAATATGTTCATTGGTAAAGTTTTCAAAGGACTTTTAGCAATTTCCAAGGCTTTCTACTTAAAAAAGTTAACCCTTCGCCAGCAAGAATTAATAAAGATAACCTTAAACCTTCGGTTGTCCAAAATCTCTTGGGAATCTGGAATCTATGAAAAAACAAACTAGTTAACATTCCTTAAAGGTAGGAATCTTACTATAACCTATCTATAGGAGCATAAAATTTTGATAAAATAAATAAATAAATTTTAGCGAAGATAAAAAATTACCATTTCGGTCATATAAGTAGGATAGCCCACCGGTGATCTAAGAGTATCCTTACTATATGAAAGTGAATTGTGAAAGTTATATTTTAACATTAGCATATTAAAATTATATTAAAAAGCTTATATATATACTAAAGAAATTATTTTTTACGACTTCATTGCTAGCTTCCACTTTCTTAACAAGTTTCTTCTTGTTTTGCCCATTAAAATAAAAGTAATTTTTTTTACCTACTTTTAGAATAAATATTGCCATACGTTAACTTAGCAGGAATTTAAAACCAAAACTTACAGCCAAATAACAAAACGCAAGTTACAAAACGTTCTGATTAATTGTAAAAACACCAAAGGGGGTACAAAATTTTAACCACAGTTTTGCAAAATTTCGAACTGTTACCTTCTTCACGGTACTTTAAAGCTCAAGACAACGCCTTGCTTAGCCCTTTAACTTATACGTATATATATACCATTTTTAAAACTGTGGGCTTCAACGGATATGAGCGCATCCCCGATCCTGTGTACAGCCACTGTGATTGTGAGACTATGCATAGCCCCTCCTTTCAAAATCTACCATATTCAATTTTTTTAACCTATTTAAAAAAACCTAATAAAATGAGTCTGTCCGAGTCCATTATTTACAAAGCGTATAAATACTTTCTTAGGTTACAGGATCAACTAAATCTATCGTGACGTGTTTTGGGGGAAAACGTACTCGTTACCAACAAGACCAGAGAGTTGGAGTTGCATTGTCGTCAAAACCCACAGTTTTTTTTAAGTTTGAGCGCCAATGCTCTCTACCGTTGAGCTATGACAACACTCAGTCTGGGTATGCTGGATTAATTAGATTAAACCTTAAAAATAAAAAATTATCTCAAAGCTTAACGCAAAGCAAAACACAAAACACAGATTTTAGATAAGTAACAACAAGCGAAATCAATGGTCAAGATGTAAATCTCATCTAACGTCCCCAAGAAAAAACATACACTTTTTTGGGGTGCTGGGAAAAGTACATGACAAAAAAAGATTATAGGTTCACACAATTAAGCAACAGACTCACTGGAGAAATTATTTGTTAGTAAATCAATCCACAGCATTATAAACTAACTTTTTTAAGAACATAATTTCAAAAAGTACAAGGAACATAACAACCAAAGGCAGTGCCGGGTTACATTTTCTACTAAAACCGATTAACTAAACAAATCTGTTAGATTTATCTCCAATGGACGCTTATCTAGGAAATGATATATCATGGTATCCAGTCCTAACCAAATCTAACCAAATACACAAACTAGAATAATTAATTATCTTTCGGCCAATAAAGTTTACACCCGTCTTATATTTTTGCCCTCTTGGCGTTTAGTATTGTTAAACTCATCAACAGCTAGTAAAAAAAAAATGCAGTTTGAATAAAAAAATTTTAAAAAATTTAAGAGATTTAATAAATAACCTGTCTAATGAACCGACCTTTAATGCCGTGAAGACCCCGTGGTGCTCTCGTAAAATATTTAAAAGTCATCATCGATGACAACTTCTCGTGGCGAGAGGTCGTAAGTCTCTTTGACGATACTAAGCGCCCAAGCGTGAGCTTATATGAGTTAAAGAAGAAAATAACAAAAAGTAAACTAATTAACTTCGAGCAAAAATAGTTAACGGGGCTAAGACCTTAGGGTAAAAGTGGAGCTATGCACGACTATATTAAAGCTGTGCACAGGCGGAAGTAGAGATTAAGGAAAGACCGTAGAATAGAAACAAAAAGTAACTTAAAGAGAAAATATATAAAAGGCGCTTTATATAAAGAGGGTAAAAGAATCAGTTCCCTCGCCCAAAGATTGAAAAGAAAGCTTTAAATATCTGTTTAAGCGCTAAAAATGCAAAACAAAATTATCATGTATTGGTCGCAATATTAACAGTAATATATAATGAAATAGATGATAGAGGCGCATGCTAGATTCATAGCATCTTATTTCCTCCTGAAGAATTCGTCTCGAAGTCAAAACTTAATTCTTTAGAAAAACCTCTTCACTGATGAAATCTCACTTTTGTTTCCTTTCCAGTTAGCAAATGCATATAAATAAGTGAGGGCTTAATTGTAAATTATTTATATAAGCTAGCCAGCAGCGCGGCTAGAGAGATCTTTTCATCTATCGCGTTTGCGGGGTGGCCGGCTTCATGCGTTGAGTAGCGTGGCTGGGCTGAAATTAATAAATTATAATATATAGTTTCTTGTACTAAATAATTTTTATTATACCTCGGTCACTAGAGTAAATTGTGTCAGTGCACTAAAATAACATCATCAAAAAACATTTTGTAAACCATCGTGAGGTTAGTACTCCGGAATAACAAGTACCGCAGTTGTGAAGCAACTCTACACGGGGTTGACATTGATCGGACGCTTAATAAACTTAGAAACACAATTTGTACTGATTGTAAATTGTGCTTCCTTGTGTAAGTTCAAGCCATTTTCCTCTATCTATGAGGGGCCCCTCTCACTATCTTGATAAATCCATTCTATTAGACACGGCTTTGAGTTTCTATAAAACCTGTCTCCAACTTCTTGCTAAGCATTCTTGCGTCAAATGCTTCTGTTATATCATGCCGGGTCCCTTGCGACGCAGTTTCAGGTATACATTTTGTTAAAATTCTAACATAGGTGTGGGGAAGGATAGTAGGATCAAAGCTTGGATTAAAACCGTATAAGGCGTAAAAGAGCATCATACAGTGGAAATTTGGAGTTATTGTACTTACACTCCGCCTGCAAAAGCTAGTCAACCCAGTTACCTAGTAGGTTATCGACTATAAACTTTAAATATTGCTCAACTATTCAAGTTCCTACTTCTGAGGAGCCATCAGACTCCGGGTGATACGTGGAAGATAAGCAGACCTTAACTCTCATAGCCTTGAAGAGATGCTCCCATAAACTAGATGTGTAATATCCTCTACCGCAACACTTTTTAATGAACGGTAATTTCTGAATACATGGTTAAGGTAAACTTCAGCAGCTTCCTTAAGAGTAAATGACTTTTTGACAGTTAAAATATGACACAATTTAGATAATCTGCACCAGGATAGATTCATAATTATCAGATAGAGAAAGATCCGTATAATATCAATTGACACTTCTTCCCAGTAATAGTTTGGGATTGGTACTGACTGAATCGCCCTTGCGGTTTATGATTAGAGGGTTTTAGATCTCTACATACATCGCACGAAACAATATATGCTTCTATATCTTTCTTGATATTTTTCCAATGGAAATTTGGTAATAAGCTCTGATGTCTTTACAATCCATGATACCTCCAACTGGCGAACTGTGTCTATTGGAAAAAATTAACCTTTTTAATCTGAGGGTAGGAATTACTATTTGGTGGGCTTTATTAACCAAGTCATTTTGAATAGACATAACAGTGGTGTACGGAATTTCATTATCTATAACTTTTAAAAGCATACTTTTTGAAAATCCTTCTTTTATCTTACTGAGGGAACACATAGCATATAGCTCGAGGTTAGTACCTTCCGTAACAAAGTTCTACTGGTATTTCTGACTTTTCTTCTGAACTAATGAGAGAGAGAGCATCAAGCTTTCTAAGTTGTTTACCGGTTTAAATACAACCTTGAAGTTGTAATCACTTAACTGTGCAATCCAACCGCCCATCTTCGGTTTTAACAAGCGCTTCTTTTTTGGGTTGAGTTGGGCAGGGCTAAAATACTCTAGATTTTTGTGATTTTTAAGAACAGTGATGACGTGCTCAGAAAGTAGAAGATAGGGTCTCCAAGTCCTAAAAGCCTCCACAATAGCGTAGAGTTCTTTACCAAGAGAGTGATAATGTTTTTGAGAACTCGAAAATTGTCTGGAAAGAAAATGGACTGAGTGTGTGCCGTAACCGTAAAGTTGGTTTAGCACTCATCCAAAAGAATAGTCACTTGCATCAGTTTCTATAATAACGGGTAGCTCAGGAACAAAGTGCTTTAAACAGGGAGCTGAGCAACCTGCATCTTGAGAAGACATGAAAACGCTTTCTTGCTCGTTGTTCCATTAAACTTGGATTTTGTTCGATTAATTAGTCAACTGCTTCACTTTCTAAAATATTGCCTTACAAAAAACCGATAAGAATTGGCAACACCAAGAAATTGCTGGTATTGTTTTACATTTTTAGGGCTAGGCTCCTTTTGTAAGAACATAATTATAGCAGGACCCAATTTATTTTCATTCCTAGATACAATGCACCCTAGAAAGTCTCTCTTTACCTCGAAGGAGCATTTTTCGGATATTTTACAACTAGATCGTATTTTCTTCCTGCTCTATAACCTTCTAAACATCCTCGTCGAGCTCCTCAACCCTGGTTACTATAAATTAAAAAGAGTCATATAAATAAAGGACAAGGAACTAATGTAAACAAATTTCAAAAATGTCATTCGTAAAGATTGAAAGGTTTGCCGGTCCATTTGTCAGACCAAAAGAAACTACTTTATATCCAAAAAAACCAAATTGACAGCGGAAAGTCGTCTTCCATTCATCACCTTATTTTATTCTAACCAGGTGATAGACATTCGTTAATTATTCTCGTGAAAATGTAGGCTTTAAAAAGTACGGTTAATAAGTGATCAAGTAAGGGCAAAGGAAATCTCTTCCTGATGAGTATTACATTTAGATCTCGGTAGACAATACAAAGTCTTCACTGTCTAGCTTTTTTTTCAAGAAAGCATTCCGCACATGAGAACTGAAGGGGGGATTGTTCCACCCTCTTTCGAAGGCTTGATCTGCTGTTTTGCAGAAGAAGCCCCTTTTAGTATTTTCATCTGGAGAATCATACGGTCGGTGAGGTTAAAGCTTTGAGCTGTAACTTTTTTCATCCTTTAGAGAAAACACGTCAGAATGTTTATCGTATATAACAGGGTCCCCTCGAGCACCTATTTGAAAGTACAAGAAGTCACAGTCACCGCTGCGGAAATATTTAAAAAAAAAAGTAGACGAGCGAGTTAGTAGATACTTGTAGATTTTCTCTTTGTTACATCAGGCAATTTTAAAGGCTGGCATTTTAATCTGTTTAGCATATATTATCTTATACCTGGTTCTCGGTGAAGATGAACTAAACAAACACCTAAATTTTCATTGCTATTAAGTTCTAGACAACAAAGGATTGTGTCATTGAAGCCAAGGCAACACCAAAAACTACGGGGTACTTATCCAGTCTAGTAACCAAAA